ACTTAGCAGAGGCATCAAGAACCAGAAAGAACACATGACTGGCTTTGGAGACAGACAAAGGCTGAGTCCTGCACTGCCACTCACTACCTACTCAAGGCACCAGAACTCTTTAGGCTTCAATCCTTACCACCCTCCACCCCTTCCAATCATGCCAGCTACACGTTGTTAAGGAGCTTACATCCAAAAAGATATATTTAAAAAGAAAAGGTATATAGAATCTCTGGCAAGTTGACTTGAACAAAATAAAAGTTAATATTTTGGATCACTTATCGCTTAAAATTAATTTCTTGATGAACGTGGCTTGTCCTCGTGAGCTTCTCATTTCTCCTGATGAAATAAACCTACTTTTCAACAAGAGGAAGTTGTTAGTTTAGCTGTGAATTTGAGGACATCTTGTTTGTTTGCTTTTTTCTTTTTAATCTTCAAGTAGTTCTCTTTCCTTCTTCAAATTCTGTACTGGAGGTGCCCCAGAACTCCCCAACTGAACTAAGGTCATTGTAGAAAGAGGTCCTACAGTTCCTGAGATGGAAGTAAAGTCATTGTTTCAGGAAGTGAAGAACAAAAATGATGCTTCAGTGACCTATTTAGTGGCCTTTGTTAAGGACTTGTTAAGATGGTTGGCCCGAACAGAAGTAAATGAGGTATACTCATTTGAAACATGCTAAAAAAGTTGTCTCTCTTTAAATAATCTTCAAAGTTGGATTGTGCTTAGTTCAGAGTATGCCAATATGATTCATTGGGTGATAATAATAATTAAGATTTTTTATTGGGTATAGTTTATAATACACATAATATATTAGTATAATAGCATGTATAATAACACATGAGATATGCACACATACACACACACACACACGTATTTTCTAACTGATAGGGTTTTTTGACCAAATATTTGGAATATTCTACACAACTCTTTCTATGGACAGAAAACGCAATAGCAAAGTAGCATAGTAGTATGAAGGCTATTGAAGTAAGGAGTAAATATATACATTGTTAAGCTTACTTTTATAGAATAAAAGTGGTTTAATTCTATTAATTTAAGGCTTAAACATATTGGTATTATACTTTGGCATCTCTTAGGAACATCTTCTCCAATAACTAATACTTAGCTTTTAATATCCACTTTAGCGATACATAAATGTAATTTGCTTTATTTTAATTTTTAAGACAGCTTAAATGTTTTTATCTTGCATTTGTATAGAAAAATGACACTAGTCCCCTTTCAACATTCCTTGAAGCTAGAGAGGAACTAAGGTATTTGAAATCAATTGAAGAAATTTATTTTAGACCTCAATTTTTAATGAAATAACTTTTTTTAAAATGCTCAGCTTATTTCAGCACTGTTACCAGTAGGAAATCCAAAACTCAAATGCTGACAGGGCAGGGCACATTCAGTGCCTCTTTTCAACCAAAATTTGGGTCTATCTGCTGGGTCTGATAAATAAAAATGGTAATTAATCTGAAATAAAGGCTCCATAAAAGGTGGAGTGAGCAAGCATTTGCTCCCAGATTGTTTGAAATAGAAGAATGTTATCATTCTAAAATGATGGTAACAGGAGTGATTAAACAATCTCACCTCCAGCAGAGGGGAAAATGTAAAACTCCCTGACCTTACTACCCACAGAATACTATTTCTACATAGAAGAAGAATAACATTAAGAAAAAAATTCATATCAAGAAAAAACAGTACCTCATACTATTTAATATCTATCAAATAATTCAGTTTAATTAGAAAAAGGCAGAAATGGAACAGGCCATCAAAATCTAGAGGTACCTGGAGGCTAATTATAATGCATTTTAGCCTAATTTCATGTATCCCCTCAGCCAACCTCCAGCCTAACCCTGAGCAGTTTACGTTTTTAATCCACAAATTGATGGTCATTTCAATTTTCATTTTCTGTGATAGAATATGAAGCTTTGACTTACCTAATAAGTAATAAAAAATGTGGCTGCAGGGAGGCTGCATTAAAGAAAGTGTCCATGTGGCCTAGGTCCCACGAAGCAGCGGGCTCATCCTCCAGTGGCAATGAACACAGAAGTAAATGTGGAGTAATTCTCCTTACAAATTGGAAAAGTTCAAGGAAATCAAACTCTTTCTTCTTCTCTCATGATTCTGCTTTCACCTGGAGTTTTTATTCTAAGATTGAGAGACCATGTATATAAAGTAATTTGTTCCATTTTACAATAGGATGAAATCATAATCCCTCATTCACCACATTTCGTGAATATTTGTCCTGAGTTGAAATCAGCAAGTTATGATAATTCAACTTCAAAATATCTCTTAACTGATGAATTTGTCCCTTGGCATCCAAAATCAAGTCATGCTTAGTAAACAAAGACTGAGGCCCAAGCAGTAGGTAGGACAGAACATTTTACTATGTGTGAGGATTGAAAAATCTACAGAGAGGGGCGCCTGGGTGGCTCAGTCGTTAAGCGTCTGCCTTCGGCTCGGGTCATGATCCCAGGGTCCTGGGATCGAGCCCCGCATCAGGCTCCCTGCTCGGCGGGAAGCCTGCTTCTCCTTCTCCCACTCCCCCTACTTGTGTTCCTGCTCTCGCTGTCTCTCTCTCTGTCAAATAAATAAATAAAATCTAAAAAAAAAGAAAAGAAAAATCTACAGAGAACTCCTAAGACCTCTCAAGCCAAAAAGACAAAATGGTTGTGTAATTTGTGATGTACATTCATTACAAAGACTCATGTTAGTATTCTCCGTACTTAGATCGGAGGCATAAGAAGTAATGATTAATTCAGTTTACATTTGAATATACTGGAAAAGATTCCATGCAAGTGGTTAAAAGGAAGGCATTCTCAGGAAGGTGAGAAGCCTGAGCTGACTCAAATCCCACTGGTGCCCAAACTGCTTCAAACTGATGCAATTCTCTAAGCGGGTGTGGGGACAAATTAGAAAAGTGAAGCTTTTTTTTTTTTTTTTTTACATTTACTAGCATAAATTTGGAAACAATTATTTTTTGAAAAATGAAATATGTTTAGAAAATGGGGAATGTGGGCCAAATTTTCAAGAGGGAAGAAGTTAAAACCAAAGAAAATGGAGGATGAGATGATAATAATGAACTCTAGAAGTTTAAGGAGGGCTGTGCCAGGGACACTGGAGAGAAAAGGAAATGCTGATCTGAAAATTTATAGCCAGTTGGATTAGCAGTTGAGTGGGAAAATGTTAGTGACTCTGAGCAACCAATGGTGTCCACAGTGCTTGAAACTGGTAGGGGCGCCTGGGTGGCTCTAGTGGTTAAGCAACCATCTGACTCTTGGTTTCGGCTCAGGTCATGATCTCTCAGGGTTATGCGATCCAGCCCTGCCTCGGGCGCGCACTCTCTCTCTCAAAAAAAGAAAAGGAACGAACGAACAAATGAAAGAACGAACAAACTGGAAAAGTCTATGATCTTCTCAGCAATGATAAAATCACTGAGCAAGTGTGAAATCTTAAAGAAAATAAATTAAGCAATCGGTTTTTGCTACACTTAACTTTAATTGACAGGACATAAATGAACTCCTTAATAACAATTTCATATAAGCTTGATTTTTTTAAAAAGGTTTATTTATTTATTTGAGAGAGAGAAAGCGCGTGCATGGATGCACAGGCACAAGCAAAGGGAGGGGCGGGGGAGAGAGAGAGAATCTGAAGCAAACCCCACTGAACTCGGAGCCCCATGCAGGGCTTGATCTCACAGCCCTGAGACCATGACTTGAGCCAAAATCAAGAGTTGGACCCTTAACCCACTGAGCCACCCAGGTGCCCCATAAAGTTGATTTTTAAACTCTATTCATTTTTGCCTTGGGCTGTTTTCTGACTTCTCATATTTTAAATTATGATACATATTTTTTAAATAAGTATTTTAAAAAGTAATTGGAAGTTTCTCTGGAGTGGCCTAAGTCAGTTCATTTGGCCTTCTATAAATAATAGACTAAGCACAACCAGGCATAGAGTAGATGGGGACACTATCTTAACCATTTCTCTAGAAAATACTACACCTTCTGGAGTTGTGTTGGTTAGCTATTAGCAGTAACCAGATGGAGAATTATACTATCTCCCCAGGACACTAATGGAAATAAGTTCTGGGATTTGTCTTTTGGAGTTTTTCCTGCTGAAATATGTTCTAACACAACTTTAAGGGCTAAAATTATCCTGACATTTCAGTATAAAACAGCCAATATGCACTACTGGCTTTCATGTAATTAGGAAAACCCACCTTAATTACTGTATTTAAGCTTTATATTCTTTGCAGTATGCTATGCTACCAAAACTCCTGGAATGTCAAGGCCATGACATGCACTGAACTAAGGTTGAAATTCATCCCGTCAGCCTTTACTACAAGGAGGCTTCTGGTTTTGACCTTCACAACACGTGAATGCCTGCCACACGAGAGGGCATGAGGCTAAAAACAAACAGACGGCATGGTCGTGATATTTTAGAATTGGGACACATTTTTCCCCCTTTTTTAATTTCCTTAAAGAGATAGTGGACCAGAGCTTTTAAGAATACAGATGACTGTTGAGCATGTATAAATAAGGTTATAAGTTACAGGTTGTTTTTTTTTCCTGAGATGTAAACAACACAACAATGTATTTCATTAAGATAATCTAATGTCCTTTGAATTAAGAAAAAAAATTCTCCATAAGTAGCTACATTCTCAATGGGAAAAAGAGCATGAACAACTTTCCTGGTGGTTTTAAATAAAATTATTTTTTTACAGATTTTATTTATTTATTTGGGGGGGCAGGGGCAGAGGGAGAGGAAGAGAATCCCTACTGTGGGGCTCCATCCCAGGACCCTGAGATCATGACCTGAGCCAAAACCAAGAGTCGGACTTTCAACCAACTGAGCCACCCAGGCTCTCCTAAAGAAAATTCTATGTTACAGTTATTTAAAGAACACAACTATTAAAAATGTAGTTTATATATAGTCAGGTAGTATAATATGCATAGAGTCTCACATTTGATTATCTCCTATAAAATAATTTTTTTGATAGATTTTGGCAAAGGGAACAGTACAAATGGTCCTGAAGACTCTGTAGATACCATAAGACACTATCAGAGTTCCAAGAAGCACTTTGAAGAGAAAAAAAGCAGATCTTCATCTTTCATCTCCTCCATTGATGATGAACAAAAGCCTCTCTTCTCAGGAATAGTAGATTCTCCTGCAGGAATGGGGAAAGCAGCTGGACTCAATTTTGAAGGAACAGTGCCCACCTCAGGAAGAATTCACATAGATAAGAGAAGTCACTCTTGCAAAGGTAATCAAGTTTCTCAGGAATCAGATTGTCTCCCTTTGGTGCTAATTGTAAAATGGCAACTTTTCACAAATGAAGAACTGTATTCACACATGTTAATTTAACCTTTTTACAACTTCCTAAAATATTTGCAAAGTTCAGATCTCAGATCATCTACAAAGCATTTGTGCAAATCTGGAATAGTGTTAATTATTCCTAAACATTAATAGCCTAAGAGGTTTTTGTGGTAGTGAGATTTAGCATAACGCCACATAGAACATTGTGGGAAGGCCTACTGTAGTGATTCCAACAGGGAGTGGGGATCAATGCGTATTTTAAGGGAGCTAACCTGTTGCTTCTTATATGTACCCTCTGTACTCACTTGTCACCCCCAACCCAGTCATTTCCTAGCATGAAAGGCCAATGCAGTAACACTATAATCAATACCGAAAAGAATTTCAGTTAACTGGGAATTATGAACAAATGGGGAGAAATGCCCCTAAATAAATTATACTCTTTATCCAACTCATTTAAACACACTTGTTTAACATCTCTATGAGAAGGAATACCCAAATATATGGGTTTTATTGTAGAAAAGATGCATGAGATGGATGATCGTGTTTGATTTGATGCAAATTTGGTCTAATGGATGGGAAATAGGAAAAGTTAAGAACTATCACGTGGAGGAACAATTAACTTAGCATAACAGATCTACAGATCTTGTTAAATCTAACCAGTAGGTGGGGGCGAGAACAGGTGTGGGTCAGACTGCTTGGGTTCCAACCCCAGCTCCATTTATTTCTTTGCTTGGCTCACTTGCTCCCTTTATGTCTTTGAATAAGTAACTTGACAAACCCCACTAAGGCTCAGCTTGCTCATCTTTCAAATAGAATAATATGTTCTAACCAACTAAATGATTGTAATTATTGAACAAGATAACATGTATAAATTACTTTCTCTGAAATAAAATCCCTAACTCAGTTTAGTAGTTTCTCATAGATTTTATTTTGTAAACTTTTAATCATTGATTGTATATATAAAATACACATATACAAATGGATATATAAAAATGTAGAGGTAAAGAATGCATAGCCGGGGCGCCTGGGTGGCTCAGTCGGTTAAGCGGCTGCCTTCGGCTCAGGTCATGATGCCAGGGTCCTGGGATCGAGCCCCGCGTCAGGGTCCCCGCTCGGCGGAGAGCCTGCTTCTCCCTCTCCCTCTGCCTGCTGCTCTGCCTACTTGTGCTCTCTCTCTATCTCTGTTAAATAAATAAATAAAAATCTTAAAAAAAAAAAGAACGCATAGCCAAAAAAATCAAAAGAATATAACAGAAATAAAGGGAAAACGGTCTTGGCCTGGCAGGATAGCAAAATTATGGCACAGAGTAAATATCTATTACCTATCATCGTCACCATTATTTGAAGTGACTATATCTGACAACAGTAGTTTTATTGAATCTAGGATGTTTGGGCTTCATATTTTTCCAGAATTACTTTCCCTATCATATCAAATCACCTTTTGCCATGACCCCATGTTGAAGTAAGTTAAGAATATATGCAAATGTTCTCTGGACAATTTAAAATCTTGATGAAGTGAATGAAAATAGTACCTCATTTATCACAATGGAAGAATGGAATATTAGATGTGATTACCAAATGTCTCATTTTAGTTATTTATGAAATCGGATTCTGGGAAGTACTAAAAATAGGAAAAGGTTGTATCATCGAAGTCAGAAGGTCTGAAGAGCTCACTGAACCATCTCTACTTCTCCCAAAGTCAGCAGAATGTGGACCTGGTTTTTTAAAAAGTAATTTTTGTTGTTTTCTTCTTGAGTTTTAGAGTCTCAAGTGACAAGTCATTAAAGATGTATTTTGGGGACTTTATTTGACTTTATAATGACTCTTGCTGACAGTGAGTTCTGGTGCCCTTCATCTTGTATTTTTCTTGGCCGCTTCTTCCAATTATTTTTAATTAGTTAGCCTGTGTGCAGGATAAAAAAAGTATTCTAACAAATAATTTTAATATCTACAAATTTTTAATTTTCAAAAAATGTACAAGTGAGTCCCTATTCAAATAATAAATCCTTACCTTGAATGAAAATGCATAGCTAAAGATTCATGTCAGTTGAATAAAATAATTGATATCATATAGTGTTGACCAGTGTGACACATGGTTAACCTGGTTAATTAATCTGACCAACTAATGGAGAATTCTAAAACTTCATTCACTGCAAATTTTATCCCTTACTGATTTTTTAAGGTGAAGTATTATGGGATGTTCAAGAAATTGAGTACTGTGTAGGGTGCAGCTCCAGCCACTGTAGTTTGAACTACTAAATCCCCACAAATTTTAGTTTTTTGTCAATAGGAAATTTCCTTTACTCACAGTCCTGCACTTGTCATGCTGAATCCAACAGAAGAGCACCCTTTAGGCAAAACTGAAAAGAAAAAAAAAAAACAAATTAAGTGGATTCTGATCCGACTTAGATTGAGGTCAAAAGTTAACTCTAGAAAAAATGTGTACCCAGAGCAAAGTGAAAGTTTACTTTCTGCTCATCCATTTCCAGAAATGTGTCTTGCAACTATAGCAACATTTTCCAAGGCAACCGAGTACAGATTCCTTCTAAGCTATATTTAGAAAGTGTCTACAAGGATGTTCATTTTGATTAAGACCACCAACCAGGATTTCCCCCTTTGAAATTTTTTCTTCTATATTGCTGTTAAAACAAGCCAATCATGCATATCCAGACTTTAATTAAAAAAAAAGTAAATTATAATCTAGGAAGCTTCTGTCTAATAGTTACATTTTATTCTTTTCTGCTGAGAAGATAATCAGCTTTTTTCTTGAGCGGTAAAAAGAAAAATATAATCCTACATAATTTATTGCATGTGATTCACCATTGTTATTTAAAAATCAATTTATAATATATGATTTGCGAATGGGAGAGCTGTTAAGCATAGGCAGAAATTCTGTAACCTTTTTTGGCACAAAACTTCTGAGCATAATATGTAACTTCCATCTTATCAGTTCTTACTATCTTTTCTAAAGATTCCTACAGTACCCGGCTAGCAGGTGGCTAGACACGGACTAGCACTGGCATCACCAAACCATTGTATGTGCGTTCTAAATGTTTGGCATTGCTGCTCCAAAATTGAAAACCTAGTGTACTAAGACATTATATTATTGTTTTTCATTTTAAATAGAGTTACAAGTCTATGAATAGTAAATCATACTTTTCAGTGAAAATCTGATATATTACTGAAACCTTCAGCAATACCATTTTTCTATGTTCATTTTCATTTTGTTTTGCTTGGTAAAATCAAAAGCAATTACACTCTGTCCTTTTAAAAAACAAAACAAAACACCAGGATCCCACAGGCTAAGGAAGCCTTAATCACAAAGAACCATTCTGGAATTCATAACGAGCCCTATGAGATCTGTTAGCCATTTCAGCAGAACAAGGAACCCTGACCTTCCATATTTGGAGATGCTAATTCCTTTGGTACTGCTTCACCCAACTGAAGGGGCAATTGTAGGCAACTTAGAGAAATTTCCATGTATTCAATGGTAAAGAGATAATGATAGAAGAACGAATACAGAGATTTTCTCTGCTCCTTGAAGAAAGGGGATGCTTTTGAGCTCTCTGACTGTACTTTTGGAGAAACTGCAGGAAGGGAAGGGACTGCAAAAAGCCTGCAAATGCTGCTCCCTATTTCTAGAATCATACTTAATCTTCCCAAATCGGTTACTTTCTACCCAATTTTTTTAAATAGCTGAGGATATAAATTCCTTAACTTTACATAATTTTTGTCAGTGTTTAATCATAGCTAGCGTCCAAAAAAAAGAAAAAGAAAAAGAAAAGAAAAGAAAAAGAAAAAAGTAAAAAAAAAACTTTTCTATCAAACCCAAATCACTTTCTGTAATTCAAATCTATTTCCATGTGAAAATGAAGACCAGTTTTAGATACTCTTTTCCTCCTACCAGCCCTCCCAGTGAGGAGAAGATATCACTTCTTTATCTCTGAAATAAACTCCCAACTCCATTAGTTTTTTTTCTAGAGTTTTATTTTCCAAACCTTTAATCATTTTAAGCTCTTATGTGGATATGTAAAATGTGGAGGATAAGAAAGCAGAGCAAAAGCTATTGAGGTGTATGACAAAAATGAGAAGAAAAAATAAGGTACTATATTTGCCCTCTGACATTGATAACTTGCAAATATGGATTGTAAGAGAAGCCATAAATTAAAAGGAGATTCGTCAGGAGTATGAAAAACGATCAGAACCTTGCTACCAGATTCTTCAGGTATAGGGCCTGGGTCTTCTTTGCCTTTAATTCCTCCACATTCAGCAGAGTGTCTAACACATAACAGACACTGAGAGCCTTTGAAAAGTGGACTTGAACAGATAAGCAGAATGTTTAAAAGTATAGAGACATAAAAATATTCTAAGTAAAAGAGCCACAAGAAAGCTTACTGGAAATTGATGCGAATATATTAAAAGATAGTGCAGAAGGAGCTACAAGGAAAGATAAAAACACGGAATAGTGTCATGGGCCTACAGGACTTTTAACACCCTGGCCATCTTTGATGGCTCTACTTTGAGTTGGGTTGGCCCTAAGAGAAGCCCCTGAAGATGTGAACTTTTCCATGGCTCTCTCCTTGGGCCCACTCTGAATCACAAATTATGCTAATTATCCTGGGAGAAGAGCCCCCAAAATCTTCAATCCAAGGCGAAGCTGTATAGCCTTGCCTCAGAGGTATTGTAGGGTCAGTTCCAGACAACTGCAAAAAAAGTTAATATCACAATAAAATGAGTCAAATTTGTTTCTTTGTTCACATTGTACATAGTCTATTAAATGTGCCATAGCATTATGTCTTTAAAATCAATGTACAATACCTTCATTTAAAAATTTTGTATTGCTAAAACATGCTGACCATTATCTGAGCTTTCAGAGTTGTAATCACTCATCATAGATCACCATAACAAATATAATAATGAAGAAGTTTGAAATATTGTAAGAATTACCAAAATGTGACACAGAGACGTGAAGTGGGCAAATGATGTTGGAAACATGATGCGCATAGACTTTCTCATCACGAGACTGCCACAAACTTTTGATCTGTAAAAACCGGTATCAGGAGAAGGCTCCCTAGCTCAGGGGTCAGAACACTGGTCGTATAAAAACCGCTATCTGTGAGGTGCAACAAAGCCAGGAGCAATAACATGAGGTATGCCTATAGGAGCAAAATATGCTTCTTGTATTCCTTCCCAAATACAAAAGCGCAAAATCACTGCTCTCTAATCAGAGACAAAATCGTATTTGAAACTCAGGACCATCTCTATGTCTTTTTCATGTGGAAATGGACAGTGGAGGTGGCAGGCAGGGTGAGGAAGGTAGGGCTCAGCTACCTATTGGTGGAGGCCTCTGGACAGGTCCTTGAATCACCCTGGCTCTCTGTCTGTGGGGTTATACTCTGAGATCCTTTCCTGCTTATCTTGTAGATGTCTCCATGTATTGATGCGAAGGGGAACCCAAAGAAGTTGACGTCCATCTTGCTATTTCCCACAGATATCGCTGACGCAAGAAGCTGGGAACAAGAAAATGCACAGACTCAGGCTGATGAGTCTAGTCCCTCAGCACTCCAGCGAGCTGCCTGGGGGATCTCTGAAACCGAAAGTGACCTCACTTACGGGGAAGTGGAGCAAAGATTAGATTTGCTTCAAGAACAACTTAACAGGTATAAGCAATGGCAAGGCAAGGGGAGAGCATCACCCAGGCCCTTGGTTGGGTCTAGGTTTTCCCCTTGCAACTTGCAAATTCCTACTACCATAATCTCGTATTTTTTTTTACATATGCTTACTTATTTAAAATAAGACTAAAAATTGACAGAATTATTAATCTGTGTTGCAAGGAGCATTTATTTAGAAACTTCATGCTTCTGGCAACATAAATCCTATTTTTGCCTTACTTGTCATAAAATTAGTATATCACCCACACCAGCTGCTGAAGAAAACTCCTTTTCCTCAAAATAATTCATATTTAGCTTGTTTACTAACACCCTCTTTAAATCCTGCTTTTACACTTTTTGGTTGTTTCTGGTAACTTAGTTACGTGTTATGGCATTTTTTTAAATATAGACAAAATTATTTAAACATTTATTCAGTCAGCTTCTCAAAAATGTGATTGAATTAGAAATACCACAGAGTTGAAGCCCAGGTCTTCTCCATTTGCCCTCCATCTTTAATCTATACCCTTTGGAGATGAGGAATAAATTTTTATTTTAGAGAGGATGGAATTCCTTAACCCAACTCTGTGTAGATTTCTTAAAATTAAACTGGTCGATAAGACTCAGGAAAAAAAAATCCACGAATGAGTGTGACATAGTTGTGTGAGTTGTGCTCCATGTGGGAACTGACCTGGATTCAAAGGTAGCCTCCGGGTACACCAGCAGGCAAGGCAGTGGTCACAGACAGAAAACTTAACCAATTAAGCTAAAATGCTCAAATCACACAGTTTACTAAATCAATGTAAAACATACGATGAGAGATGAGGAGAGCGAGGAGAGGTAATTAACACATTTAAATAAATGCAAGCATGGTATAAAAGAAGCCCGCTACAGCTGAATCCCAATTGATGCAACGTTCGTATATGGTGCATCATCCTGCCCTGAGGTGTGGTTACTAGGACCAGACAGAGTTGAGGTTTGCACAGAGGAGTCCGCAGACAAAAAATCTGTCTATCCCAATGGCACACACTTGCTTTTTCACAGAGATGTAAGGCTGGGTACACCTGGTCACAGCTGTGGTTCTCCATTTACTCTGCTGAACAGCCATAGGTTTTATTTGCTTTTTGGTAGGTAAAGAACAGGTAGAGCCAGAATGAGCCTCTGCTGTGTGTCACCACTGGATGGCCAAACTGGGGGAGGGGGCAGTTTTCTGTCCAGAGATGACATGAGAATAATTTGTTCTTTCTGTCTCTATCTGTAGAGGCCACACTCTGGTTTGTTACATCCCATTTCTATTCTATCTTTGGCATGTCTTACAGGTTACTAGCATGCTGTCTGTATAGAAGGCATCTTAGGAATTCTGTCCATGTCTAGCAAGCTACTTGCTTACTCATTATCTATACTTAACACATCCCAGGAGTTTTGCCTATACCACATAAGCTGCTAGTTTACTTACTATTTGCTTAATGTTTCTTATGTGCTTTATCCATGCTGCTTATTGTTCTTATTGTTTTTTTAAATGTTTCTGCCATAAATGAACAGTGTCAAACAATACAGTAAGCACATCAAAGTGTGCATACACACACATACGCATTGCCATGAAAAGTTAATTAGGAATTAAAACAGACAAATAGAAAATCGACAGATTTGTAAATTAAAATAAATTTGTTAATGTCAAACAAAAGTAGGAAAATATTGCATGAACTAAAGATTTATTTTGTATTTTATCTTTTCATGGATTTTAATTGAATTTAAAATCTCCTGGTGCTAAGGCCCATTCCCAAATTTTAAATGCAGGTCTTCTCAAATTGAAACATATCTGAGAACATTAAAACAGCCATCATTTACTTAGAGTCAGTAATCCCTAATTCAAGGATAAGAACTTGCCATTGTAATACTTACTATTGGTCAGAAGAACCTAGTTGGTTGCTTAATTGATACATTTGCTGTTTTACTCTCCCTGCTACTTATGCCAAGTCACATTGGTCCTTTAGCCACAACATATATAAAACTGTATACTGGGGCACTCGGGTGGCTCAGTCAGTTAAGTGTCTGTGTCCGGCTCAGGTCAGGATCCCGGGGTCCTGGGATCAAGTCCTGGGGGGCCTGCTTCTCCCCATCCGTCTGCCTGCCACTACCCCTGCTTGTGCTCTCTCTCTCTGTTAAATAAAAAAATAAATAAATAAATAAAATCTCTAAAAAAAATTAAAATTAAAAAAATAGAACTGTATACTCTACACACATAAGAATTGATATGTGTGATCTCTGAACTTGAATTCTTTGATTCCTGTGACTTAGAGAAAGTAACTGCCCATTTCTTGACTGTCAGGGCATAGCATGTGGTCAATTTGTTGAGGAGCTATAAAAGTGAGTGGGTGAATGGGTGAATGACATTCTTTAGCAAAATACTCACAGGTAGCCTAGATTAAAGTCATAACTCTGTACTTAGCTATGTACAGGATGACTGGGTCAAGTCATTTAAGCTTCTCTAGCCTCAGTTTCTATCTTTGACTCACCCACACCTGCAACGGTGTTTAAGGACTAAGATATGATATATGGAAATGATATACGCTCAAAATGGAGGCTGCTGTCCTAGCAGCTGGGTCAAGTCTGACGGGCAATGAAGTTTACTTCTGTTATTGGTGTTCCTCCTACTTTACGTGTACTTCCTTTAGTTCTTTCTTCTGGACTAAAATTAAGATTTTAGGATCCCTTTGTTGCCTTGTCAGGGGTACCAATCATTGCTGCCAGGATAAGTCAAAGATTACTGAAAACGTAAGTTTTCCATAGGTCCGAGGACTGTAAGTGTAAACTCTTAAGGTCACACATATCTAGGACTATATGATTTGCAATCGCCCATTCGTAATAATACTTATCATTGTTATTTGATTAGATTAGTTTTATTATTATATGAAACTTTTCCTCTCAAAAGTACTATTTAATCTCTCTTGACATCTCTTTTGACATTGTCCCAGCATCTGTATGTGCCTTGACATACTTCTCACTTTGACTTACTTCTGTTTATCTCCAGTTTTATCACAAACATTTTATGTCCTAACTCAGCTTAGCGTCTTTTGGATTGAAAATCCATTATATTACATGTTTAAAGCACTGACATCTCCAACAAACATCTTTCCTCCACTTCACTTCAGAAGGCAAAAGCGTAGAGAACAAGTTTGAAGAAGACAACTCAATTCAAACTTGGACTTTGTGGAGTGAGAATCCCGGGACATTTCCTAGATTTCCGTCTGTCCTATTTAGTTTCCGCATTCTGTTCAAATGTAGAACCGTGAATCACAATCCCATTTCTCTCATTCAAATACTCATATTAAGTACACAATGCAGTAAAAACAGGGGCACCTGGGTGGCTCAGTTAAGCGTCTGCCTTCGGCTCAGGTCATGATCCCAGAGTCCCGGGATCGAGCCCCACATCGGGCTCCCTGCTCAGTGGGAAGTCTGCTTCTCCCTCTGCTCCTCACCCTGCTCTCACTCTCATCCTCTCTGTCACTCTCGCTCTATGTCAAATTAAAAAAAAAAAAAAAAACAGGGGCGCCTGGGTGGCTCAGTTGTTAAGCATCTGCCTTCGGCTCAGGTCATGATCCCAGGGCTCTGGGATCGAGTCCCATGTTGGGCTCCCTGCTCCGCGGGGAGCCAGCTTCTCCCTCTCCAACCCCACTCAAGCTCTCACTCTCTCTCTCTCTCAAATAAATAAAATCTTAAAAAAAAAACAGCTAGTAAATGATGTATCTTGAGTCAATTTCACTGTTGCTGTTTTTTGGCTTTAATGACCAGCTAAACTATATGTATGGGTAAAGGTTTACATAAGACGGGTTCTTATATATTTATATATTATGCCTACAGCTATACATATTTAGGGAAATCATTAACACTTGGTCCTAAAACAGAGCTTCTCAAACTTTAATGTGCATCAGAATCACCTGGGGATCTTGTTAAAAATGCAGATTCTAAGGTCTGTGATTTTAACATTTTTGGTAAGATTTACCTTCCCTTTACATCTTTCATTCAGAAACGAAATAGCACAAATAAGTGAAGAGTTAAAGTTTTCTAAAGAGGCATATGGTACTAATTTTCTGTTCTTATGCCCACAAAATTCCCTTTTTGAAAATGCTGTTAACACATGCAAAAATAAGTGGGGGGGGGGAGTTAGTCCTATTGTATCTTGCTATTTTCCTTTGAATTTTAATTTAAAATGAGAATGAAATTGACAGGCCAGTTGGCTCTTTGTGAGATTTGGGGGGAAAAAAATCATCAGACTGGCATTTTGCAAGCCAGATGGGTCAGAGAAGCAAGTGAACTTGTACATTTGGTCTGTTTCTTAAATACCAAAGACCTGGAATTATAAATGAGAAAGGAATGGAAAAGGCATTTAGCATCCAAGAGCACTTAATGATAAAGCATCTAACAGCACTAAAGGAATAACAGGCAATACTGTGAATAGGAGAGAGGCAGGGTGAAATAAAGGTAACGTAAATTTTAAACACATAAGAAATTACTTGACTGCTGCAGCCATGAAAGAAATGTGCTACCAAATCCATTTTTAAAGAGTAAATAAAATGCTCACAAGGAAAAGCAAATTACTGATTAAAAATAGAGTCTCAATGTGCTTTACATTTGAAATCAATAAAAATTAGTAAAAATGTAGCCTATTTCGATTAAGCTGCTTTTCTGCGAAGATCTTATTAAACGAGGAGGAAAGCAATGGTGTTTTCAGAACCATTAGTGGGACATAGAAAGTAAGCATCAGCCAGGAGAGAATCTCTGTGCTCCCTCTCCTGTCCTTCTTGTTTAAAGCAGGGCCATAATTCTGTTGGTTGGTGGTGCTGAAATTTTCTCAAATGCTTTGCAATCCTGGACTATTTTAGGATTGTCTTCCCCCATTTGTGTCTGTCCTGCAGACTTGAATCCCAAATGACTGCTGACATCCAGACCATCCTACAGTTGCTGCAGAAACAAACCACCGTGGTCCCCCCAGCCTACAGTATGGTAACTGCTGGAGCCGAGTATCAGAGGCCCTTCATCCGCCTGATGAGAACCACCCATCCCGCAGCATCCATCAAGACAGACCGAAGTTTCAGTCCTTCCTCACAAGTGAGTGTAGATAGTGTACAACAAAGAGTATCTCTCTAGGGGTGTTTCTGGGGACCATCTGAGTCAGAATCGTCTGCGGTGCTATGGAAATGAAGTTTCTCATCCCCATCTGTTTCTGCTCAATTAAAATTGCTGGGAATAGCCCCTGTAATCTGCATTTAAACCAGCTACACACTGATTCTTATGTTCAAGTTCGAGAACAGTGGACCTAGAAGAATGATTTTAAAACACTAGCAATTTTTTTTTCTAAGAAAACATTCTTTTCAAGAATCAATCTGCTTAAGTTTATATATGGTAGAGCTTTGAAAACTGATAGCCCAGGGTCCAAAAAGCGCTTCAGAGAAAGGTCTGTCATTTGCTCTGGTGACAAGAGGCACTCTTGGGCAGGGTCTCTGGAAGGCGGGGGGTGGGGGGGGTGGAGGAGAAACATCAGCTGTCCAAAGACCTGAGTTTCCAGAGCCAAAAGACTAGTAATCTCATTTGTGCCCCACCCATCACCAGAGATCTCTAAACTTTTCTCATCTCCATCATGGTAAGAGGAGGAATATTAAGGTGTCCTTCATCTTGCCTCTGAAGACTTCTAAGGCCTTTTGAATTATGTTAATATGAAAAGTCTAACTCCCTTGGAATTCCACTTAGGAAATTATTCTTATTTACTGAAGCCTGGTAGCCAAATTGGACCTAAGAAAAGTGGACCCAAGAGCAAGGATTTCCTGAGCAATCTTGTAAACTTTTTTAGAAGTTTGGAAATTTAGTGCAAAATGTTCTGGGAAATGAAACATTAATAACGGGGAAATGTGCAGAAGGAAGACACTGAAATCTTTCTGAAATATGAAAGTAGAAATTTAATTTATCCCTAACTAATTTCCAGTGTCTCAGATCTTGCAAAACCATGTACTTTGTTTTCAGTGGATTTAGGTAATAGTTTCTGACCAAGGATGAGTGATATTTCTTCAGGGTTTTTTTTTTTTTCTGTTCTCTTTACACTGTTTATTCACCAAATGACCCATGTTTCTGATTCCAGTTGTCTCTAATTAAAATTATTTTTGAATTAAAACTCATCTGGAAAACTCAATGTTAAATAATGTGTGTGTGTGTGTGTGTATGTGTTTATTTTTTAAGAAGAATCTGATCTGGCTTCAGAGTAAAATTAAAGTTCTTAGAATGGTTGTTTAGGACAAATTGATGCCCATCCTCCAATGCCTTGACCCATCTTTGGGAGGGAAAGTTTCGTTAATATCACTAATCAAATGTAGATTAATGGGGAAATAAAATGTATTTAGATTTCATGAGTATAATTTTAGAAATCTGTCCAAATTATTAAAAAAATGTTTTCTTATCTTTCTCTCAGTGTCCTGAATTTCTAGACCTTGAAAAATCTAAACTTAAATCCAAAGAATCCCTCTCAAGTGGGGTGCATCTGAACACAGCTTCCGAAGACAACTTGACTTCACTTTTAAAACAAGACAGTGATCTCTCTTTAGAGCTTCACCCACGGCAAAGAAAAACTTACCTTCATCCAATTAGGCATCCTTCTTTGACAGAGTCATCCCTAAGCACTGTAGGAATCTTGGGTCTTCATAGGCATGTTTCTGATCCTGGTCTTCCGGGGAAATAATCATTTTGTACTGTTTACTCCACATACAATGTAAGTGCTTTTAATGGCTGTTTTCCTTTTTTTGTATTTAAATCCTCTCTACTTGACTCAGGGGCTCACAAGGTACCATTATATGCAAAAGTACTGTATATTTTCCTAAATTGAAGCTTGTAAGGTAAAATTGAGCAATTAGGATGTAAATATACATATGAACTCTTTTGTTCCAAATGTTAAAACTGCCAGCATCTCAAGGCATCTTATTATTATTTTTTAAATCATGTGCATGTTAGGAAACTCCAATTTCTCTTGCATGGAGACTCCTACTTACTACTTTTACTACCCCAGTATTTTGTTATGAAAATGCCTTCCAAGCAAGTTAAGAAACCAAGGAATAACATTGTTCATGGATGCAAATCAGGTGATCCTCAACTCATGGAAGTTCCAGGAGGAGAATGGGAACTTAGTCATTTTGAGAACAGATAGATACCCTTCTGTACTGAGATGTTTATAGTTAATTACATTCATTTCACCACACCGGAAAAAAAAAAAGTTCTAAAAAAGTTCTAAATCTCTGATCGTGTAGGGAGCCATCTCCAAATACATGAATATAGGCCAGCTTTAATGAGGACAAAAAGGCCTTTCTATTTAAAATTCTGTCTCTAACTTCATTTACAAACTACCTAAAATATTTCTCACTGGCACATTTCCTTGAACATTTAGAAACAAGTTTTTTCTCATTTTTCTTTCTTTTTTTGAGGGAGGAGGGAGTCTTAAGCATGACTGACACAAGCTGATATCCAGAGCTTTCCTCTGATTCATATTTTAGGGCAATCCTGAACTGGATCAAAAGAGTGGATGCACAGAGTTCTTTTTAAAAAATGTGCAACTTAGTGGATGTGCATGGCAAAACTAGCTTCCATTAAGTATATGTTGTTCCATGGTTTTCTTATCCCAGCTGTGGAAAAACAATGTGCTTTTACCTGCCTGTAAAGGAAATGAACACACCAGCAGTAACATTTCAATTTCGTTCGGTTAGTCAAACACATTTCCTAATCAAAGATTAAATGAAAATGTATTATTTATGGATTGGGCCGAATATTTGGACCCCAGAATATCAGAACATACAATGGAATATATTTTAATATCCTTAACTGTTAGATTTTTTTGGAGGGAGGAGCATATGCCTCTCATAAAAATCAGGATATGGAAAAAAATTGCAAGTTAAGAATCTGATTAGTCTATTTTTAGTCAAGTTTTATTTCTCAATTCATTTGAGTACAATTTTAAACTTATTAGGGACTGATCCATTATACCCTTTCCTTCTGAACAAAATTTTGAAATTTCTGCAAGTTTCTTCATTCTTTAATGATTCTTATACTCACATGTATTTTTAAAGAAATAATATATCCGTGCACATTATTAAATGGATTAATTTCTATCCCTCCAGGATAGAAATGTAATCTATTGACTTACCATTACCTCTGACACTATTAGTTTCAAATACAAGCAATTCATTTAAATTTACAAAGCTATTGCACTATTTAAAATATGATTAAAGTGACCTTAAGTTGCTCCCTATATATTTTTAAATGATCACATGTGTGGGAGGCAATCTGTAGTCATGAGCAAATTCATATCCCTGCTAAGTGTTTGAAAAAAACAAAACAAGTACATATGGCAAAATGACCAGTCCATTCAATAAAAAACCGAACAAGTTCAACTAGCTTCTCAAACCATTTGGTGTTAATGCAGATACAGATTTCAGGACTAAATGATGCTGTCCTTCCTTCATTCAGCAAACATTTATGGGTGCCTAGCAGGGGGGAAGAAATGGCTAACTTTGATTCAGAGGACTATTTAGGGATTTTATGTCCATATTTAGGCACATTTTTGCAGCTGCAACAAATTTCATAAGGATTGCCAGCCTCAGCTTCAGGGAAATTCAGAATGAATTCACCAGAGACCGTACATTTGTAGGGAGCGAGGATTTGGCAGGTGAGGCATTTAAATCTGTTGGATTAGTGAATGCTTCAGCTGCAACACTGGTATGACATGCGTAAAATTCAGCCTTCCACATAAAGCCTCTATACTTCTTTATAAAAACTGAGCATGAAGGAATGGGAAGATGGAGAATAGTGTACCAGCATCCCGCTTGTTTAAATTCTAGCATAACACAAACTGTCTTCCTTTGAATTCCTTGACATAAAAAAATCACTTGATATTATAATCTAAGTCTCGGAGAATTGGACAGGATTAAGGAAGTCCCCTCTTACAGGATATCAGCTTAACAAGAGCCTGAACAATATAAAGATGTGGTTAGTTAGGCAGAAATGTCAGAGGCTCAATGGTTAAAACTTTGAGAATCATCAAGGTAGATGGGCCTCGGGATGAGTTCTTTCATTAATAGCTGTGTGACCCTGACCAATTTAATTAACATCCCTGAGTCCTTTTCCTGAATTTGTAAAAATGAGATAATGGTACCTGCCTCAAAGAAGCTTAAGAAATGAGATAACATATAGTAAAGTGCCTGGCACATAGTAGGTGCCCCCAAAACTCTAGTCTTTTTCACCTAGGAACATATCAAAAACAATTAGGAAAACAATTTTCCACAATTTAGCTTCTACATAATGTGCTATGTCTCCAGCTAAAGAGCCGTTACCAAGACTGAAGTTTTTGATTCAGAAACGGCAAGTGTAGCTATTGTTTTCTCTAATTGTGTTCTGCACTATTAGGTTTACAGCTTTAAAGTAATACTTATTTATAATAATAAAAGTGAGAGTATGAATGTCATTGTTACAAACCTATCTACCCCAAGTCAATGTTAAATGACAGGTACGTAAGGTGATCTGTTGAATTGGGTACAAGTAGAACGTGGGCTGTAAAGACTGGCTCACCAGGGAAGCCCCTCTTTAGATCCACAATATAGTTCCCACATGGATATTTGAAAATGCATTTTCGAACTACGCTTTTGAAATAACACTATTTTTTCAGAAAATAGAATTTATAGTTGTCGTGGTTCTTTGCAGGCACCTAGGCCCACTCCGTCATGCACAGATACGTTAAACACAGTCCAGTGTTCAGTGGTAGAAAAGGCAAAGAGACTCAGTGTGGTAAACCTGAATTAAAATCCTACCTGCTGCACTTACTTTCAAGACAAACCCTCAGTGAGCCCCAGGAGCCCAAACTGTAGAGGCACCGTCTTAAATATCCTGAGGGGTCTTGAGGAGACTCTGAAGTGTATATGTGGAAGGGCTTCATAAGCCATAAAGCACCATGTAACTGGTAAGCTCCTTAGGTGACTTGTGCATCATCACAATACAGTGTCATTCCGGTGGAAACACCATAGCACGACCTAGGTCTTCTGAAAACCTTCCATGGTTCTTTCCCCTACCCAACACTGACAGCATTTCCACTCTGTGACAAAAATGTCTACCGTGATTCTCACAGGGCTCTCAAAGATCCCTGTAGTCAGAGTAGATCCCCAGTGCGAGGGAAGCGTCCTGTCGTAGCATCCCAGGATTTGTCCAACACCCATAGCATTATGTATTTGCATTGCAGTTGTCTTCTACGTAGGCAATGGCTTCGCCTCCCTCCTCACTTCCTAAGTGTTCTCGTTCAAAGCGATATTCTCTGGCTTCCACTTAACTTACAAGGAAGTGAACATTTTAAAAACTAAAAAGATGTTTTAAAATACTTTATAAAATATTCCTTGTTGTGGTTGATCAGTGCCTGAGCTTAGGATAATTCATTACATGTTCTGTGGTACAAATACACTTTGCTCTAGGAATATGCAATACAGAAAAGTAAATTCACAGGAAGACATGAATTATTAATAATTGATGACATGAAAAGAAAGTATCACAAAGCTTATTTATATAAACTATTAAGTGGAGGTTGAGAGAGACGACTAACAAGAAGTCATCTAAAACTAATACATTATTATTATGAATAGATGGACAAAACATTGATAGGAATGCAATGTTAAGAACACAGAACCATACAATCAACTGACCAATTTCATTGTTCTACCAGTCATAATCAAACTTTTAAATGAGAGTAGTAAGTATTATAGAAATGCTCTCAATAAAATACTTTTATTATGAGAAGTGGCAAAATTAACATGGTTACTCTTGAAGAGCTAATGTCAAAACTAAGTTGAATTCCTAAATCGTAGTCATGACGTTTGTGACTTCCATTAGTTAATTTAAAAGATACAACATAATTTGGTACACTTACGGTTTTAAAGCACTATATGTTTAACCTTTATTTTTGGTACTTCCCTTGCGTGTATTGCTTTTAAATTGAAAATAATCACACCTGTTAGTATTTAAACCATATCTTTTTTTGTACTGTCACTATATACATTATATACATATATTAAGTATGTATTAAGTATTTTGAATACATGTAAGAAAATTCCACACCATTCCATCATCCTTATTTAGGAGTAAAATTCAAGGATCAGTAATCTTATAATTACCTCCTCCATAGTGTCTTCAAAATGCCTCTATAATTACAGCATTGAAATTATATGCTACACTTTTCCCCAAATATTAAAAAAAATAATAAAAATACTGAGGAATCCCTAGTTCTCATCTCCTAGGCACCTACAGATTTTAACGAAAGACACATTACCTCTTTTCAGCTAAAATTTGCATTCTATGATTTTGATAGGAAAATGTACATCAGAATGTTTGCTGGTTAAATAGTACATTTCAAAAAATAATGTGTGTAATCACTTGAAAATGTCAGTCATCCGATACAAAGAAGCTCACTCACATTGGTTAAGTAGTAAGTACCTTGGAATGCTTTAAACGTAAAAAAACAATCTAAACAGAACACATACTTTTTCCTAGTCTTTATGCACATAATGTAGCATGAAATCATGATGCTTTTGAAATACTCCGTGCAGAAATATTTATTTTTTAGCAAATATTTTCTTCAAAGATTGGTATGTGGTATTGACAGTGTAATCTACTTGCACAACTAGTTTTGCAATAACCTTCTACAAATAACTGTAAATAAGAAAAATGTAAATTTCATGTAAAAATGGTTGCAAATTTTTGGTAGCTAAAAGTGTACAAGTTGTATTGAAAATATAGTATATATACATAATTTAAGAGCGAAGCATATAATTTCTGATCTATTTATACATGAAAATTCAAGAATTTGTAAAAGAAATTATTTTGGGGAAAAAGAAAGTAAATCTCATTAGCTACTTAGAATACTTTTATTAGAGAAGCCAACTATTTCCAACATTTTACTAGGCATAGTGCTAGATATAGGCATGGTGGTGCTGATGTATTTCATGAAATCACATAATTGTAACAGTGCTGCTACAGTTTTACTGAGTTCCACTGGGACACCAGTAAACTGGACTGAGTGGTAGAAAGCATTAAATCTAAAATTAAAGAAACATAAAAACACTTCACTTCTTATTATTGGCTAGCAAGAACATAATGGTAATTTACTGAAACATTTATTGTTTCATTACTTAAGATTTCTGATAACTAAGCGGGCTTCAAATTACATGGGACATGAATTCTGTATCATGTGTACATGGTTCATTTTTTTTTTCATCAAGAATGGAAATATCCAGATTACATTATTTTCATTTGCCTAAGTTTCATATGCGCTTAATTTCCTCCCCAGAATCATTATCTATTATTTAAGAAAAAAAAATCCAACTATCTTCAGGGAAATCTTTTCAATAAAATTTGTTGGTCACAATATGGCATTTTCTAAGCTAAAGACTATTTGGTCCATTTAGTGGCTTAGATTCCCCACCATCCATTTCTTAAGGTTTAAAAAGCCAAGAGAACATTTCCCTATATAATAAATGAAAAACCAAATCAAATATAGATAATCAGAAAGCAATGTACTGGTATCTTTAAGTGAGGCTGATTAGAAAATGACAATCAAAGTACGAATAAGCTAATTATTTAAAAACTTAAAATCTCTTGCCATAAGATAAATTTGGGGGTGACGTATTTAGATAGCTTTGGGAAATTACATATGCATCCAAAAGTTTGGCTAATCCTAATTTTTTTTTAAATGGCCTATCATTTTCAAAAGAATATGGATCTTTATTTAGTGTTTCTGGAACATTCATACCTGTTCAGGTTACCCTTTGAAATTTCAGTGATCACAGCAAGATAAAATGTGATTAAATACAGCCAGCAAAAATGCCAATAACTGCATGTATATATTTATATTGTCATGCTTAAGGGAAAAGGCTGGGGCCACCCCCCCACCCCGCCACACACACACACACACACACACATACAATGTATCAGAAGAAGGTACTAACTCCTGGCCTATTTGTCTCTGAATATAGCTATTGAAGGATGACAGAGCCCAATTCTCATTTCCTGTAAGCTTTCCAGATGGCCAGCATCTCTGATGTTGTGGAAGGGGTACACCTGGAAATACAAGTAGCTCATAGGCAAGAACCCTCCTCCCCCCTAACTGTATGGCACATCATAGTAATGTAGGAGTGCTGCCAATGTCTACTTGCTATATATTCACATACACAGAAGCACACTTGAGTTCTGAATGCTTGCAAAATAATACACAAAGCTGTATATTACCAAGCTACCTGGGTAAAAGGAATGTTAAGTAATATAAGTCTCTTTCCTTCATATGCCAGTAAAATATGTTTTTTAAAACAAGCAGAAAAAGACATGGCAAGAAACAATTAAAAGCACAGATTTCCCAGCATCCAAATAATGAGTTGATAGTGAGTCAGACAGAAATTTTTCTTAAGTATCCTAGTGTCTTGCTGGAAAGTAGTTTTGTGCTCAGTATTCTAAATTACAGGAAAAAATTTAACTTAATATATGGACATATATGATGTTATAACCTTATTCTAGACTACAAATTATCTAAACGGTATTCGTTTAAAATCCTCTCTGCATTCATCACTATAACAGAAGTTCTCAATATTTGTTTTTTCTTTGTATCATCTAATTTTATTATAAAGTCTAGACATACTCTTAGATGACAGCTTAGCATTGTACATTTATTTCAAAGTGCTATAAGACCAAAAAAAATGTGGTTTTTAAACACAAGTTTCAAAGTAATAAAACACCCATGGTTGCATTTTAAAGTTTAAGAGAAAAAAAAAAAGATAACCTGAAAGAAGTCTTGGATTTTTACTCACTAAATATAATTACCAGACTTTCACAAATGTATTCCTACTAAGTTCCCAGAAAACTGCGACTAATAGAGAAAACTATCATCTATGAGTCTGTCAAACATAAAAGGACAAAAGAGAAGCACATTTCTGACCAATAGTATTTAGTTTGTCCAGTTTAGTAATGCCATAACAGTACAAGTGAACTTGATCTGTATATTTTACTTAAATAATCACAAATTGATTTTTTTCTCATTTTTTAAATTGCACAGACTTTAAACTACATTAATAAATTTTACTTTCTTCCAGGGTGAATACCTTTTCTGGAAATAAACATATCATTTGACATTTTTAAATTATTTTTTGTTTCTGAATGCATGCTTAAATAGATCACATGAGCACAGTCCTTGAAACTACACTTAAAGTGGACCAAATTAAGATTCAAATAGTATTGATTTCCCCTTGATGTAATTTAAAATGTGCAAACTGCCACTCAAAATAGAAGTGCAATACCTGACATTTAATCATTTGGCAGTGTTAATAGGTAGAGGTGAATTACTGCACTGTTATTTGAACTGAAGCATCTCGTATATGTAACAGATTTTGTATGATACAAAACTTTACAGCAAGCTATTTGAATGTTTATTAAAAAATTCTCAAAATGACATGGAAACATGTTTACTGTATAAATAAAAGCACTTAGATGTTAAGAGTGTACATTATTCAATAATTTACATCATTACAAGAAAACTGGGTGTGAGTTAAACAGTACAAACTACCACATTCTGTTCATATTCCAGTCATTGTTCATCATCCACTATTTAATTTTTATGTTAGTAATGGATGTCTGCTTACATCAATTATCTTGAGAGCATCAAAAAGTGAATTGCATTTCAGTATAAAAATCCAAGTAAAATATTCTCAATGGCTAACATCTGGTAAGATTATCTGTTTAATGGAAAGTGCCAAAGAACTGTCTGACAAGTAAGTTGGATTGGCATGGAAAATCAGCTTTGCTAGAGAAAGGGGTTCTGTGGTCAAAAAAGTTTGGAAAAACTGGATCAAATAAAAGTAAACAGGATTTTATGTACCGTAGGCTTTCTCAAGCTCCCTGAAAAGGGTGAAAATTTCCCCAATACATTTGCTCATTGAAACCCCTTCACAGATCTCCCACGACCAAAATTCCTAAGAACGTCTTTGGAAGAGGGTGAGCTAGAGAATCACATGAAGAGTTCCAATACAAAGTGTCACCTGGCAGAACTTTGTATGAAGAATACCATACGTCATTTTTAAAGTTTTGCCTCAACCAGTAGCCTCCAAGTAAAGAAAAACTAGAACAGACCTCAGAATAGTACAGTGACTAGATTACCTGTAAACTGGCTGTTAGGATCCCAGGCTGCTGAGTCATATTAGCACCCTTATTCAACATGAATGATATGAGTGTGTTTACATTAGTTTTTCCCAACAAGACTTCTAATTAGAATCCTGTATTTTTTTTAATGGCTCAGCTAACATCCTCTACACTATCAAATATATGTTCATGGAAAAAAACTTAACAACCAGAGGACAAGAGTATATGGATTATTTCATCACACATTTTACACTGCCGACCAAATGACAGCTAATTATATAAAATTATAATGTCAAAATGACTATCCAATACTTCCTTTCCAGGACTGTTAAAAGTAAAAGTTGATTTAAAATTCTCTTAGTTTATAAAAAGTTTTCTTTCAAGATACTCCCATTCACCCTCCATCCTTCAAGAAACACAGAATTTTATAAAAAGCATAATTAATTTGGTCACCAGTCATACTAAAATCATGTCAACTTGTACTCACATTTTAAGCTGGAAGACCTTCAGTTAAAGTGTAAGAAAAATACATGTTTTTTTAAATCTTCACTAAAAAACACAGAACGTTTGCCAGGAAAGCGGCTGGATTAATTACAACAGCTCACACCAGGGATCTTAAATGCTAAGGATTTGATGACGACTTTGCAACTTTCCACAGTAATGCCACAGAAACAGGCCATGGTGCCTACTGTGGTCAGTACCCCCCACATTACACACCTGCGCTCAACGACTTACCAGTTTACCAATGCCAGTGGTAAACCCGCAGCTAATGTTGAGTAAGTCAAACTTAAAATTTCTGAACATTTAAGCAAAGTGGTAGATTACTTGATTTTTTAATTTTGTAAACAGCTGGCATTATATATATAAAACAATTTAGCTTCACAGAATACATTGAAATGTTGACATTTCATTAAAAATATGTATCACTTCCAGAAAGTCTAGATTTAAAAGGAAGATGCCATTTTAGGCTATGTTGTCACTAATGAAAAAAAGTAGTCACAAAAGGTGTGTTTATTAAGAACTTTTTTTCCACAGAAGACAAAAAAGCATATTGAAAAAAAATATTCACTGACAAAAACAAAGGGGAAAAAAAAGCCTCCTGTAGCCTCATTTCTATAGGTTAATTCATGGTGCACCTAAGGTGATGTCACATAGATTTGAGGAACTTTCTCTCTTCATAGACAAAGACCAGTGAGTTTCTGTTCTTGAATTATGTGATCAAGGAATAAACTCTCCTACAAATATGGCACAAAATCCAGGCTTCTCCTTCTAGCTCCCCTTCACAACCAATGACTACAAACAAAATTTCAAAGTATAATTTGTAACCTTCTGGTAAGTATACATTAGCTTTATCTAGACTTTCATTATTTGGCTTCTTATATATTCTCTTGTAAGTACGTTCTTCCGGGTTAACAATGTTAAAAATTAAGGTTAAAAGGTATTTATATCAATTCATCATATACCAATATTTTATGATACCATACAGATACCTGTTAAGTGATAACTTTTCTAAAAGCAATTAATATTCCAAATACAAAAGCACTTCTTTTATTGCTTTGAACTATGCAATAAAGTAAAAACACATAGAAAGGGAACAGGTTTAACAGGGAGAAACACAGAAAAGCCCCCAAATCTTCAAATTCAAAGTAGTCCAGTTCATTTCTTCCAGGTAAAAAAATTCACAGTGTTTCTTCAGCTTTCAAATTCTAGACATTCAAATTGCCATAGTACCCTGCAAAAACTAATACATAAGCAAAATTATCAGCTGGTAACAATAAAATGTTTTTGTTTTTGATTAATTATACTCCATAAAAGCATTTTCACAAGAGGGGAAGTTTTAAATGTTTCCAAGGCTTGTAATGTAAACCGGGATGTACCAGTAGGGAAATGCTGACCCTCTAACTTCCATATAACAAAAACAAAACAAAAACCCCGAAACATTGATGTACATGTGAAATATGATTTTCCTATAGATTCAATTAAAAAAATGGGATGATGCTAATTGCAACCATTTGAAATGAGAAATGAACAGTGTCCTAATCTGTCATATATGAAAATTTCCTCTCTCTTAATATCACCAAGAGTAAACTACTCTTTATAAAAATAGTGGTAGTTTTGCCCTTAAAAATGATTTGAAAGATGGGATGCCTGGGTGGCTCAGTAGTTTGGAGTCTGCCTTCAGCTCAGGTCATGATCCCAGGTTCCTGGGATTGAGTCCCTCAGAGGGCTCCCTGCTCAGCGGGGAGCCTGCTTCTCACTCTGCCTGCCATTCCCCCTGCTTGTGTTCTCTCTCTCTCTGACAAATAAATAAATAAAATCTTTAAAAAAAAATGACTTGAAAGATAAACTGCCAAAAACATGTCATGAAATTTAGAAATATCTTTATGTTTAATATAAAGTCAAGTTGGTATTTGTACAAATACCAAATCATATTTGCATTTAGCTGAAAAAAACAGAAAAAGAATATGGTCTATAAAACATATTAATCCCAGTACTGATACCAGGGATCACTTAAATTTTCTGACAACTGAACACATCTAGAACACAGTGTAAATATCAGAATACTCACATCGTCATATACAAAATTCACAACCCCTTGTTGCAAGTGGTCTCTTCTCCTAAAGAAATCTTTAAACAAACAAACAAAAAATATTAAAAATTTAAATATATAGTTTCAAATACTTGGTGTCCCTAAGTACTAAAAAATGACTAATTTCATACTCAGAAGTTTAAGTTTTTATTTAAATTAGTTAACATATAGCACAATATTAGTTTTGGGGGTACAATATCATGATTTAACAATTCCATACATCACCCAGTGCTCATCACAACAAGTGCATTTCTTAATCCCCCATCACCTATTTCCCCCATTCCCCTCACCTACCTCCCCTCTGGTAACCATCAGTTTGTTCTCTATAGTTAAAAGTCTGTTTCTTGGTTTGCCTCTTTCTCTCCCTCTCTTTTTCCCTTTGCACATTTGTTTTGTTTCTTAAATTTCACATGAGTGAAATCATATGGCATTTGTCTTTCTCTGACTTATTTCACTTAGCTTAATACTCTCTAGCTCCATCCATGTCTTTGCAAATGGCAAGATTTCATTCTTTTTTTATGGCTGAGTAATATTCCATTGGGGATATATACATATCTCACATCTTCTTCATCCATTTGTCAACTGATAGATCCTTGGGCTGTTTCCATAATTTGGCTATTATAGATAATGCTGTTATAAACATCGGGGTGTATGTATCCCTTTGAGTTAGTATTTTTGTATCTGGCTAAATACCTAGTAGTCCAATTGCTGGATGGCAAAGTAGTTCTATTTTTAACTTTTTGAGGAACTTTCATACTGTTTTCTACAGTGGCTGTACCAGTTTGCATTCCCACCAACAGGGCAAGAAGGTTCCCCTTTCTCCACATCCTCACCAACACCTTTTGTTTCTTGTGTTGTTTTTAGCCATTCTGACAGGTGTGAGGTGCTTATCACATTGTAGTTTTGATTTGTATTTCCCTGATGATCAGTGCTGTGGAGCATCTTTTCATGTGTCTGTTAGCCATCTGGATGTCTTCTTTGCAAAAATGTCTATTCATGTCTTCTGCCCACTTTTTAATTGGATTATTTGTTTTTTGGGTGTTGAATTTTATAAGTTCTTTATGTATTTTGGATAGGAACTCTTTATCAAATATGTCATTTGCAAATATCTTCTCCCAACCTGTAGGTTGCGTTTTAGTTTTGTTGATTGTTTACATCACTGTGCAGAAGCGTTTTATTTTGATGAAGTCCCAACAGTTTATTTTTGCTTTTGTTTCCCTTGCCACCTATCCAGAAAGAAGTTGCTACAGCTGAGGTCAAAGAGGTTACTGTCTTCTTCTCTAGGATTTTTATGGTTTCATGTCTCACATTTAGGTCTTTAATCCATTTTGAATTTATTTTGTGTATGGTGTAAAATAGTGGTCCAGTTTCATTCTTTTGCATGTTGCTGTCCAGTTTTCCCAACACCATTTGTTTTTTCCCATTGGATATTCTTTCCTGCTTTGTCAGAAGATTAACTGACCACATAGTTGTGGGTTCACTTTTGGGTTTTCTATTCTGTTCCATTGATCTATGTGTCTGTTTTTGTGCCAGCACTATACTGTTTTGATTACTACAGCTTTGTAATATAACATGAAGTCTGGAATTGTGATCCCTCCAGCTTTGCTTTTTCAAGGTTGCTTTGGCTATTCAAGGTCTTTTGTGGTTCCATACAAATTTTAGGATTGTTCTAACTCTGTGAAAAATATTCCTGATATTTTGATACTGATTGCATTTAATGTGCAGACTGCTTCGGGTAGTATACACATTTTAACAATATCTGTTCTCTCAATCCATGAGCATGGACTGTTTTTGCTGTAATTGTAAATGGGATTGATTCCTTAATTTCTCTTTCTGCTGCTTCATTATTGGTATGTAGAAATGCAATAGATTTCTGTACATTGGTTTTTGTATCCTATGACTTCACTGAATTTGTGTATCAGTTCTAGCAATTTTTTGGTGGAGTCTTTCAGGTTTTCTATGTAAAGTATCATGTCATCTGCAAATTGTGAAAGTTTGACTTCTTCCTTGCTGATCTGGTTGCCTTTTATTACTTTTTGTTGTCTGATTGCTTGCTAGAACTTCCAGTACTATGTTAAATAAGAGTGGTGAGAGTAGACATCCCTGTCTTGTTCCTGAACATAGAGGAAAAGCTCTCAGTTTTTCCTCATTGAGGATGGTATCAGCTGTGGGTCTTATTCATATATGACCTTTATCATATTGAGGTATGTTCCCTCTAAACCTCCTTTGTTGAGCGTTTTTTTTTATCATAAATGGATATTGTACTTTGTCAAATGCTTTTTCTACATCTATTGAAATGATCACATGGTTCTTATCCTTTTTTATTAATGTGGTGTATCATGATGATTGATTTGCAAATAATGAACCACCCTTGCAATCCACGAATAAATCCCACTTGATCATAGTGAATGATTCTTTTAATGTGCTATTGGATTCGGTTTGCTAATATTTTATGGAGAATTTTTGTGTCCATGTTCATCAGAGATATCACCTGTAGTTCTCTTTTTTGAGAAGTCTTTATCTGGTTTTGGTATTAGGGTATTGCTGGCCTCATAAAATAAGTTTAAAAGTTTTCCTTCCTTTTCTATTTTCTGGAATAGTTTGAGAAGAAAAGGTTTTAACACTTCTTTAAATTTGGTGGAATTCTGGGGTGCCTGGGTGGCTCAGTTGGTTAAGTGACTGCCTTCGGCTCAGGTCATGATCCTGGAGTCCCGGGATCGAGTCCCACATCGGGATCCCTGCTCAGCAGGGAGTCTGCTTCCCCCTCTGACCCTCCCCCATCTCATGTGCACTCTCTCTCTAATAAACAAGATCTTTAAAAAAAATAACATAAATAAATTTGGTGGAATTCGCCTAGGAACCATCTGACCCTAGACTTAAGCTATATTGGGAATTTTTTGATTACAGATTCAATTTCTTTGCTGGTTATCAGTCTATTCAAGTGTTCTATTTCTTCCTGTTTCAGTTTTAGTAGCTTATATGTGTCTAGGAATTTGTCCATTTCTTCCAGGTTGTCTAATTTGTTGACACATAATTTTTCATAATCTTCTCTTATAATTGTATTTTTGTGGTGTTGGTCGAAATTTCTCCTCTCTCATTTGTGATTTATTTGGGTCCTTTCTCTGTTCTGTTAAGTCTGGCTAGAGGCTTATCAATTTTATTAATGTTTTCAAAAAATGAGCTCCTGACTTCATTGATCTGTTTTTTGATGTTTTAGTTTCTATATATCATTTATTTCTGCTCTAATCTTTATTATTTCCTTCCTTCTCCTGGCTTTAGGTTCCTTTTGTTGTCTTGTTTTGTTTTCCTTCTAGCTCCTTTAGGTATAAGATTAGGTTGTTTATTTGAGATTTTTCTTGCTTCTTGAGGTAGGCTGGTATTGTCATATACTTCCTGTTTAGGACCACATTGCTGCATCCCAAAGGTTTTGGACCATTGTGTTTACATTTTCATTTGTGTCCCTGTATTTTTTCATTTCTTATTTTATTTCCTGGTTGACCCATTCATTGTTTAGTACGATGTTGTTTAACTTCCATGTATTTATGGTCTTTCCAAATTTTGTCTTGTGGTTGACTTCTAGTTTCATAGTGTCGTGGTCAGAAAAGATGTATGGTAAGATTTCAGTCTTTTGGTATTTGTTGAGGCCTGTTTGTGACCTAATATGTGATCTATTCTGGAGAATGTTCCATAGGCAAGTGAAAAGAATGTGTATTAATGCTGTTTTAGGATGGAATGTTTTGAATATATCTGTTAAGTCATCTGGTCCAGTGTGTCATTCAAAGACATTGTTTCCTTGTTTATTTTCTGTTTAGATGAGCTGTCCATTGATGTAAGTGGGGCGTTAAAGTCCCCTGCTATTATTGTATTATTATCAATTAGTTCCTTTATGTTTGTTATTGTTTTATATATTTGGGTACTCTCATTTGGGTACATAAATATTTACAACTGATAGATCTTCTTATTGAATTGTCCCTTTTATTATGATATAGTGCCCTTCTTCATCTCTTGTTACAGTCTTTGCTTTAAAGTCTAGTTTGCCTGATAGAAAGTATTGCTACTCTGCCTTTCTTTTGACATCCATTTGTGTGATAAATATTACTCCATCCCCTCAATTTCACTGCAGCCGTCTTTAGGTCTAAAATGAGTCCCTTGTAAGCAGCATATAGATGGGTCTTATTTTTTTATCCATTCTGACACCCTATGTCTTTTGATTGGAGCATTTAGTCCATTTACATTCAAAATAATTACTGATAGATATGTATTTAGTGCCATTTTATTACTTGTTTTGTCATTGTTTCTGGAGATTTTCTCTGATCCTTTCTTGTCTTTGTCACTTTTGGTCTCTCCATTGCACTCAAAGAGTCCCCTTTAATATTCTTGCAGGGCTGGTTTAGTGGTCACAGACTCCTTTAGTTTTTTTTTTGTCTGGGAAACTCCTTCTATTCTGAATGATAGCCTTGCTAGATAGAATATTCTTGGCTACAGATTTTTCCCATTCAGCACCTTGAATAAATCATGCCACTCTCTTCTGGCCTGCCAAGTTTCTGCTGATAAATCTCCAGCTAATCTTTGGGTCTTCTCTTCTAAATTAAGGGGTTTTTTTTTTTAAGATTTTTTTCCTCTATCACTTATATTTTGCAAATTTAATTATACTATGTCTTGGTGTGGCCTGCTTTTGTTGATTTTGATGGGAGTTCTTTGTGCCTCCTGGATCTGGATGTTTGTTTCCCTCCCCAGATTAGGGAAGTTTTCAGCTTTTTTTTTTTTTCCCCAAATAAATTTTCTGCCCCCTTTTGTCTCTCTTCTTCTTCTGGGACGCCTCTATTACAAATGTTATTATTTGATGGAATCACTCAGTTCCCTAAGTCTATTCTCATATTCCATAATTTTTCTTTCTCTCTTTTTTGAGCTCCATTATTTTCCATTATTTTGTCTTCTAGGTCACCAATTCATTCCTTCTTCCAGCCTGCTGCTCATTGCATCAAGCCTGTTTCCAATCTCATTTACCGCATTCTTCATCTCTGATTCTTTCTTAGCTTTTTTACCTCTGTGGTAAGGGTCTCACTGATGTCTTCTATTCTTTTCTCAAGCCCAGTGAGTATCCTTACGATTGTTGCTTTAAATTCTCCATCAGGCATGTTACCTATATCTGTTTTGCTGGGATCTCTGGCTGTGGCCTTATCTTGTTCTTTCACTGCAGATAAATTCCTCCATCTCGGCATTTTGTCTAAGTCTCTGCTTTCTTCTATGTGTTCAAAAAGCCAGTTATGTCACTTGTTCCTGAAAGTAACTGCTTTATGAAGAAGAGGTCATCACGTAGTGCCCAGGGCCTGGCACTTCAGGGAGTGTCTCTGGTGTGTGCTGCATGTGCTCTGCTCTTGTCTTTTGGCTGCTCTGTCCTTCAGGCTAGGTGTTTGCAGAGGCTCCACTTATCTGCTGTGGGCAGTGTTCGGTCCTTGGCCAGACTGTGGCCAGTTTTAACTAGGTGTGCTCTGGTCTGCTTCTGAAATCAGACCTAACACCACTTGCACCAGAACTGAGGCCCTGCAGAATTCTCTGATTGGGAGACACGGTGTGGGCAGGGGCTTGTGCTGGTCTTCTGGGGCAAAAGCCCACCACACTGGGACTAAGGCAAGCTTGACTGAGAAAGGCAGTCCAGCCAGAGTGCCAGGGTGTGAGGCTTGGTATAAACAAGTTAGACAGCCAATGTCAGTGTTGCACTGCTTCCCGCAGGGGGCTCTGTGTTTATGCTAAGGGGCGGGAGAGGGAAATGACATCAGCCAGCTCCTTTGTTCCTGGAGAGGTGTCTCCCTTGAAGGCTGCCTCTCAGGGACATGCTCTAAGAAGAGCGAATACTCTTCCGTGTGCTCCAAGCATTCCTCAGATCATTATTTCCATGCTATCTGCCCCCTGGCTGTTTGGCTGCCTTCTCTCCAGGAGAAGCGCAGTGCCCTCTGGGCTCTATCCTAATCAAGCACCCTAACCTTTAAAAGTCCAGGTTTTAAGCCCCAGTGATTGCAAGAATTCACAAAACTCAGCCCCTCCCATTTTCCAAGCCAGTGGCTTCGGGGAAATGTTCTTTGCATTCCTGGGTGTTCCTTTCTCTCTTGCCCTTCTCCATGACCATGGCTTCCTCCTCTCTGCAGCACCCGTGATCCATTTCTTCCCTAATCCACATCTCTGCTCTTCCTACCTTCTTCAATGGAGCCTCTTCTCTCCCTTTAGTTGTGGAGTTTGTTCTGTCAATCTCCAGGTTAGTTTTTGGGGTATTTAGGATGATTTGATAGTTATCTAGCTGTGTTCGTGGGAAGAGACAAGTGTATGGTTCTCCTACTTCACTGCCTTCTTCCCTCTCTCTTCATTCTCTATTAAATCAAGTGATTTCATAACTTGGGCAACTGAGACATGAAGAAAACTTTCCAAAACTGAGCTATAACAATTTTTCACTATTCATATTACTAAATTTTTAAAGCCTTAAAAGTGATTAGATTTAACAGTGAATAAAGGTGAAAAATACATAATATTACAAACTTGTTGAAGAAAATGAGAAATACTATTCAGATACATAGCTACACAATACTGCACCCTTTTTTAAATGATCAATACCTGTCAATGCTCGAAGCTTCACACAGCAAGCAACATAATCATCAAAGAAGATTCGGCCATTCTTGCTGTACCGTTTAACGATAGCAGTTAATGTTTGAGGACTCAACCTATAACCTAGAAAAAGGAATTTATACTTTAAAACTTCTAAAACCAAACAGCATAAGAACACCACAACACTGCATTTTCTTTAAAAATAATCATAAAATAAATTTCCAAAATTCATTCCATAAAACTATATGCTAGAAACAAAATATATTTACATTGAAATTTATCAAAGGCTTTATTACTAATAAAGTAATAAGGTGGTTAAGTGGTACATAAATATCACAATTCTAGCTTTGTAATAAAGTCAAAGCTAAGAAAACAAATGATGATCTTTTTGTGTTTTTAAAATATATTTTGATTTTTAAATGATGTCTAGAGTATTTTGTAGATTTTAATGCTTCAGTATTTCATTTTTGTAATTTTGTAGTTCTTTAAAGAATATCAAAGCAAAGATTATTAGTGATCTTTGCTATCATTCAAATTCTGTATTTCCTTTTTTTCTTTTTAATTTTTCATTGAGGTATAATTGGCATATAAAATTAGTTTCAGATGTATAATGATTCCATAGTTGTATATATTGCAAAATGATTACTACAATAAGTCTAGTTAACATCTTCAACACCAAAAACTCCAAATAATCCAATTAAATATGGGCAGAGGACCCAAATAGACATATTTCCAAAGAAGACAAACAGATGGCCAAAAGACACACAAAAATATGCTCAACATCACTCACCATCAGAGAAATTCAAATCAAAACCACAATGAGAGATGCCCTTAACATCTGTTAGAATGGCTAGAATCAAAAAGACAAGGACTAACAACTATTGGTGAGGATGTGGAGAAAAAGAAAACTTCCTGCAGTGTTGGCAGGAATGTAAACTGGTGCAGACACTGTGGAAACAGTAGAGAGGTTCCTCAAAAAATTAAAAATAGAATTACCCTATGATCCAGTAATTCCATTACTGGATATTTACCCAAAGAAAAGAAGACACTAACTCAAAAAGATATATGGAGTCCTTTGTTTACTACAGCACTATTTACAATAGCCAAATTATGGAAGCAACCAAAGTGTCCATCAACAGATAAATGGCTAAAAAAGATGTGGTATATATATATACAATGAAATATTACTCAGCCATGAAAAAAAATGAGATTTTGTCATTTGCAACAACATGGATGTACCCATATAAGGTATTATGCTAAGTGAAATAAGTCAGAGAAAGACATATGATTTCACTCATATATGGAATTTAAGAAACAAAACAAAGAAAAAAGGGACAAACAAACAAAAAAAAAGACTCTTAAATACAGAGAACAAACTGATGGTTGCCAGAGGGGAGATTAAGAAGTATAAACTTCCAGTTAAAAAATAATTAAGTCAATATATGGTGATTAACATAATAACAAAAAGGAAAAAAAAATAATTAAGTCAGGGCACCTGGGTGGCTCAGTTGGTTAAGCATCTGCCTTCAGCTTGGGTCATGATCCCAGGGTCCTGGGATCAAGTCCCATCTCGGGCTCTGTGCTCGGCAGGGAGCCTGCTTCTCCCTCTCCCTCTGCTGCTCCCCACCCCGCTCGTGCTCTCTCTCTGTCTCTCTCTCAAATAAATAAATATTTTTAAAAAATTAAAATTAAAAAAAATTAAGTCACAGGGATGAAAAATACAGCATAGGGAATACAGCCAATAAGGTCATAATATACACTGTATGATGACAGATGGTGAATATATTTGTGGTGGACACTGAGTAATATATAGAATGGCTGAACACCTGATATGGATATGTATAGAAGTGTTGTACATCTGAAACTAATATAACAATGCATATTAATTATATTTCAAAATATTTGGTAAAAATAAATAGATAAATAACTGAATAAATAAATATTAGAGATCATACCAAGTTACAAAAGATATAATATAAATCGTGAGTACCAACAATTAAGGGAATACATTTTAATATACTCAAGAGGAAATTCAGAAATTATTTTATCAACCAGAATGTATAAAAAGACCATTTGTTGGAAAAATCATAGATAAAATGATTTTGTTAAAGGTCTTCAGTCAGAATTTATCTACAATCTTGAAATTAAATTGGGCAACAACTGGTGAAATAATATATTCCTTAACAAATTTTAACAATTGAGATTCATCTCATCAAAGAACAAAGACAATCTGGATCGATTCCAAAGAATTTTAATATTCTTACCCATAGCAGCAATGGCTTGATTCAATTCATGATGTTCCACTGTGCCACTTTGGTCTTGATCAATAGTTATGAAGTTTTGCTTCCAGGCATTAAGAGCTGCCCAAAGTTCTTTGAATTCATTAAATCCCATTTTTCCTGTGTAATCTCTCTGATAGTTTTATTAATAAAAATAAGTTTTGATACCAAAGAGAATTTACTTGACTCAAAACTATAAATCACTGACTAAAAAATTGTTAGTATGCTTCTGCAAGTTAGCCAGATTTAGCATATGAATAGATTCCTGCATAAAAATGGAATTCAAACAGGATCTTACAAAGTATTTTTAAAGTCTCCAATTTACTATGGGGCCATTTATAGCCAACAATTGCTTGGTTATATTCAGAAAGCAATTATTCCATATCCTAGTATTTTCTATTTTTATTCAAGGATACATCCAACATGGCGATCATAATTCTGCAGGTTTCCAAACTGAAGGCTATAAAACATATTTATTATTTGAATTGGAGTCTGCCCAATTTTATCTATGTAAAATTATGACAATTTCTATTTCATAAAACAAAATGTTTAGAAATTGCCAAAAATACACAATCAACCCTTATCAACAAACTTTAAATGTTAGGCATCCATAGTGAAAAAAATAAAAAATAAAAATAAAAATCACTACTACTTCAAGCTACTCACATCTAGTCAGGGGATTTGGGGATAACTAAAAATTACTGTCACAGGGCGCCTGTGTGGCTCAATTGGTTAAGCAACTGCCTTCGGCTCAGGTCATGATCCTGGAGTCCCGGGATCAAGTCCCGCATCGGGCTCCCTGCTCAGCAGGGAGCCTGCTTCTCCCTCTAACCCTCCCCCCTCTCATGTACTCTCTCTCTCTCTCATTCTCACTCTCTCAAAATAAATAAATAAATCTTAAAAAAAAAATTACTGTCACAGGGGAAAGGAGAGTTTCAGTTTTCCTAACACAAATGATAAGTAGGTTTTAAGTAGAAGTCTGACATATACTGAGATCACAAAACTTGAAGGAGTTAGAGATTTGATTAAAGCTTGGGGTGAAGGACTGGCCTATGATGACATCTGAAAGGCAGATGAGGGCCAGATCATAAAAGTCTTGAATGCCACCCTAAATTTTAGACCAGTGGAAGTCACTAAAGAATTTTAAGGAGCAGAGGGGCAGTTCTAAAATTTCCAATCCAGAAACATTCACTTACACTGAACAGACTACAGAGTAAAGTAAGATGAACCTAGATATAGGTAAATCATTTGCTAGTTTACTACAATCAATCAAGTAAGAAAAATATGAGCTTCTGATCTGAAGCAGCTATTTTCCCTTCAGGGAGAGAAAAGGCAGGAAGAAAAAAAATATAAACTATGTTAAATTCTTGGCTTATAAGAAATATTAACACTTTCATATCTATAGAACTATAACTGAAGACTCACTAGGTAGAATTTAATTTTTCTAAACCTCATCACAATTGCATCGAATTGGTAAGCTGATTTACCTCAAGACCAATTATATCAGTCCTGATAAAAGAGATACTATGTCAGCACAATTACTAAAGCTTACAAAGTTCTTGTTAGTAGCTCCTAAAAATGAATGAATAAATAAATAAAAATGCTTAAAATGATCTAATTTTGCTATTTGATAACATATTTTAAATTTTTATAAATAAAAAACATTTCAGCTAAATTTTAAACCTATTAAGAAAAAAATCATAAAACATTCTACAAGTTAAAATAGCTGATTTTCTTTAATACAGTGTCAATGTTAGAATAGGTGGTTACAATATTTTCAGACTGACAATTCAACAGACACTCAATGAGCATTCACTATAAGCCAAGTAGTATGATTTGGTGATTTCACACAAACATACAAAAGTACTATAAGTCCCAATTTTACAAATGAAGAAACAGAAGCCCAGTATAATAAAGTTTACCAAGTTCATAGAGCTAATAAGTGGAAGAGTCAGGATTGGAGTCCAGTGCTCCTTCATACAAATACTACTCAAGTGGGAAGAAGGAGGGTGGCAAAGTTACCATGAGGACTCTCTGGATGGCATTCCATCATTTTGTCAAGCAAATGATATGTTTTGCTTTCAAGTTAACGTGGCACAGGTCCATTACATGGGAAAATCTGAACATATGATAACAAATGGCAAACACTGAGTCTTCAAATAAGCATATCTTCAATGACAAAATAGGACTGAGTATACATGTATATAAGATTAAATATTTTTGACAAAGAATAGAGAAGAATTTTCAGGAAAGTTAATAGATTTTCATTTCCCCCAATACCCCATTAGAATGGGCAAAAAACTAAATTTTCTAAAGTCATAAACCATTAGAAAAAAAAGATGAGACAGAAAACAGAAGAAAAGAATTATGTAACTTGGAAAAGTAGTAGGATGGATGGAAGTTAACTAATCTAGATCTGAGATAGTGGCTTGATGAACACCCAATAAGAAAAGCTGAAAAGGAGCCTGATTATCCAGGAGAAGACACCAAACATATAAGAACTGGTATTATATGTGAAAATGGGTGTGCAGGTAGAGAGAAAAATAGAAGGACCAACTGAATATCCATTTAAACAGGATTTAGAGCCCCAAATTCCCTCCTTGCCTCAGCTCCATAGATGGATGCCATGTCTAGTCTCACACCAGCAAAAATCTAGGGATTTACTGTCTGGAGAATTCTTCGAATTTCAGGATACCAGGCATATATCCAACGCCCTAACCACTAACCAATAACCAGTCCCCCCTAATCTCCAACCCTGATACTAACATTCACCCTAACATTAACCCTAATGCTAACTCTCTGGAGAGGTCTCTGAACTGCAGGACACCAGACACATAACCTAACACTAACCCTAATCCTAACCCTAATCTTAACCACTAACCAGTAATTTACAACCCCTAAACCTAACACTAACACTAATCCTGACTCCTACCCTAACTCTAACCCTAGATCTGAGAAAGTGGCTTTTGAATACACAATAAAAAAGCAGAGAAGCAGCCTACTTCTCTGTGAGAAGATCCTGAACATTTAAGAATTGGTAGTATTTCTGAAAATGGGTATGGAGGTAGAGATAAAAATAGACCAGCTGAATATCTATTTAGGGAGCATTTAGAGCACCAAATCCCCTCTTTGCCTTAAATCCATAGATGTCTGCAATATTTATTCTAACCTCAGCAAAACCTGGGAATTTATACTCTGGAGAGGTCTCTGAACTGCAGGGTATTAGAGACATACCCAAACCCCTAAATCCAATCCCCTAACACCAAACCTCGAATCCAAACCCTCACCCTAACACTAACCCTAACCCTAACCATCTGGAGAGGTCTCTGAATGGTAGAACGCCAGGCACATACCCTACCTAACCCTAACCCTGACCCTAACTCTCAACCTAATCTTAACCCTAGATCTGAGAAACTGGCTTCCCAAACACATGATAAGAAAAGCCGAGAACCAGCCTACTTATCCTAGAGAAGACCCCAAACATTTAAGAATTGGCAGTATTTTCAGAAAGGAAGTGTTAAGATAGAGATAAAACCAGGAGGACCAACTGAATATCTTTTTAAGAGTATTAAGAGCCCCCAACCCTCCTTGCCTCAAATTGGTAGATGGCTGCCATGTCAATTCTCACCCCACCAGAAATCTGGGGTTTTATTCTCTGGAGAGGTCTGGGAACTGCAGGATACCAGGCACATACTGGAACCCTAACCCCAGCCTATCTGGTAAAAATAAGGCATTTAAGTGACAGTTTACCAAAGACTGAGAATCCTGCTGAGTCTTCCCTCCTCCTTTCCTACCAGACAACCAGCCCAAAAGGAAATCCCTAAACATACTGTTGCATAACAAACTGCCCCGCCAAACCACCAGACATGGAAGTCTACATTCAATACCAAACCATGACCTGCATTTTAGTTCAATATGTACAACCAAGGATCATCAGACACCTGAGAAAAGCCATCTAACATGAAAGACAACAAAACAAACTGGAAAAAAATTTGGAGGAAGCAGTTTGTGAAAGAAGAAAAAACTGAAAAATGCATTAACAACAAATACAAAAATACAGTTTCAGAGAGATAAGGAAGACATCACATACATGAAAAAAGAAGAGAAGCTCTTGCATTTTAAGAACATGATAGCAGATATATATAAAAAAAAAGAAAAACTCAATAGAAGATTCAGAAAATAAAGCTGAGGAAATCTCCCCACAGAAAAAAACCAGAGACAGGAGAAAAAAATATTAAGAAAAGTGACCCAGTCTAAATGACAGACATTCCAAAGGAAAAAATTGAGAAAACATCACTAAAGAAAATGTCTCAGAACTAAAGCAAATGAATTCCCAGTCTGGGAATGCCCACTGAGTTCCCACACAACACAACCAGGCACATCATTGTAAAATTCCAAACCCGGCATGAAGAGATCTCACAAGCTTCCACAGTGAAAAAACTGATATATTGGCAGATAAAGTAACAGTGGATGCTAGAAACAGTGGAGCAATGTCTTTAAAATTCTAAATGAAAATGATCTGTAATGCAGAGTTCCATACCTGGTCACTTAATTCTGTGGACCGAATGAAAGCATTTTCAGATAAAGTCTAAAAAGACTTTCCTCCCATGCACTCTCTTACTGAGAAGCTAATTACTGTTATATTTTATTGTATTTTTTAAAATGACTAGAGACTAAATAAAAGGGAGATCCAACTCAAAAGGGCATAGAAAGTCAGTTCCAGAATGATGGTGAAGGAACGATAGGTTTGCAGCTATGCATAGAAAGTAGACCACAATAAAAAGGTCCAGAATGATGATTAATTTCAGAAAAAGCAAAACAGTATACAAAAAGGGAAATTAATCATACATTATCACAAGACAGAAGAAGAACATTTAGAAAATAACAATAAAGCAAATACTGATTATTGACCTAGCAAAAATTACTATACAGCTATAATGGATGGAGGAAGATTGGAAAGCATTTCAGTGTGGAGTACTGGGACAAGAGTGAGTTTCAAGTTCCAAGAGAGTTAATTCTCATCTTCCATAGCTGGATATCAACTGTTAATCATTAAAACTGAAAATCTATAGTGATAAAAGCATGCTATTTTGAGATCTGGAGGCAAATTTCGAAAGAATCGGCTGCAAAAGCTGAATGAGATTTCCTCTAAGAGTGGTTAATATCAGGGAGATAATTATGCACAAGGAACAGTTATTTTCACAATAAGCTTTGCAGAACTATTTGACTTTAAATTATGTGCATATACAACTGTGATAGAAAGATTTTTAAAAAGTATTTTAAATATTGGGGGGGAATGATCTCACGAGAATAAGTTCCATTAATTCCAGACTGTGTCAAACATTTCTGAAGTTCCTCAGCATCCACTTCACCATCCTGTCAAAAAATAATTATAATCAGATTTAATGCACAATTATATCAAATCATATTAATATGCTAATTGGCTGTTTTAGGCCAATCAATAAATATGCATTCTTTGAAACATTACTCTATAATCAACTACAAAATTATAGAAGTAATTACTGACAGCAAAGGCATATTACAAAACAGCATACAAAATAAATAATTTTTTTCATAATCAACTTATATTCTATTAATATTTAAGCACTTCAAGTATAATTTATTTTTTCTACTTCTGAGAAACAGCATAATCATTCTGACCTACAACAGGTCAAAATATCATCCTGTGAGAATCATTGTACCTCTACTTAAAATGGAAAAAAGACCAAAATATGTTCAGAAAAATCTCAAAAACGTTCCCCTAATGCTCTTCTCATGGGATATGAAGCTCTAACTGGAAGGAGAGAATAATTTCCCCCTACTCCCCCCAGCAAAATTTTAGAGTCATCCTGCATCTTGTTGCTATTCTTCTGATTATTTCCCCAACATTCTTGTTTGAACTTATTATGGGAAATAAAAATTTTTTAACGCAAACAAGAAATCACAATGGAAGTGAAACAGGTTGAATATTCTCATTATGTTTCAGTACCTCATCCTATTTACTACAAAAATATACAGAGTAATTTACTTGGAAGCATCATAAACACTGTCACAAATGCAAAACAACAGCTCTGATATAGGATCAGGGAAGCAAATTTAAAACAGGAACTTTGTATGAGTTCATTTTTGTAAGAGACCCAGGAAATAAAGAAAATTTTTACAACCAACTTCCAAGAAGTATTATAAATACTCATATTCTAATGAATCTTTAACAAGGAATTCCTTATAACAAAAATTCCAGTGGTTCTCTCAGGAATTAAAAAACTAAGAAGCATTCTTTCCATTGGATCATCCATGTGCCTACAGAGTATCTAAGTGTTCCTTTCTCTGCCATGTGTAGTTCTGGGATTTGATTACAAAACTTCAATGAATTCTAGACTAAGAAAATTATACTTTAAAAAAATTAGCCATATGTTTAGAATTAAAGGTAGGTTAGCAACTTTTCCTCCAATGACAAAGACTTTACAAGGAATTTTTATTTAAACAATTACCTACCTTCCTATTATATCAAACCATTATTATATTTCAAGACTTTGAAAAACTATGCACATACTTCTAACATGATCTAAGAAATCATCAGTAAACAAAACAAGACAAACAAAACTATCAATGAAGTCCTCAGCTGCCACTGTCAATGGTGTATCTCACTGAAATGATGGCACAGACGCCAAGTCACTGTCAGTTACTGCAGAGTAAATTTTGAAAAACACTCTTTTACAAATTAGTAAAACAGAAGCAAAAGAAGGAAATGACTTTTCTCTCATTTTTAATTTAAAAAGGTCTCCTAACTTCATTACACTAAATATAACATGGTTATAAATTGCCTCTTTCAACTTTTTTTTTAAGATTTTTTTTTTTAGATTTTATTTATTTATTTGAGAGAGAGAGAGAGATAGTGAGAGAGAGCACAAGTGGGGAGGAGAGGGAGAAGCAGGCTCCCCACAGAGCAAGGATTTGTCAGAGAGAGAGAGAGAGAAAGAGACAGAGAGCACAAACAGGGAGAGCAGCAGGCAGAGGGAGAAGCAGGCTCCCTGCTGAGCAAGGAGCCCAATGCGGTACTCAATCCCAGGACTCTGGGAATCACGCCCTGAGCTGAAGGCAGATGCTTAACTGACTGAACCACCCAGGTGTCCCTTTCTTTAACTTTTCTTAAGCGGGAAAATGATACTAAACCTGAGAATAAAATTAGTGAGAATTACTAAGCTTCATCAATTTTTTTCCTCATTTATAAAAATAACACATTGTGCAAACAGCTCAAAATTAAAACTTTCTATAAAAGAGCAATTTGAATTTACTAAAACCCTTGACCAATACAATTAAAATGAAGCAAATCAATCCTATGTGGTCTGATGATAATTTCTGTTCAAATAGGAGCTTCTTTTGTAACATTTCACAGAAAAGTCCACTTAGCACATAGAGGACCTTTCTCTGGATTCTGAATATTCAAAGACAAAGAAGGGACCCTGAAGAGTATGGAAATTCTTTTGTAGGGAAAGAACAAAGATTATAGAGGAAGCAAAGTTGAAAAGTAGTAGGTTCAAAAGACCCAGAAAAAGTCATTATAAATTTGAGTTAAGGAATATAAATAGTATTTTAGTCTTTGTTAACCCTTTTGAATGAGTGAAACTAAGAAACACATCTCACTGTTTGCTCTCCCACAAAATAAAAAAAAAAAAAGAGCTTTAAACTCCATGCATCAAATTTCTACATGCTTATTTATCTGCAAGGTCTATGCTTCCTTCCCCACGCTGCTTTGCACTGCTACAAGGTAGAATGCAGTCTGTCTGTGTCTTGTACTTCAGAACTGAATGTGTAATCTTCCTATGAAAAACCAAGATTATTATTTTAGCAAAGTTCAGAATTAAATGCTATAAAACTCAGGACATTTTCCATTACATTCATCAAAAGGTCCCAGTGCAGGGGTGCCTGGGTGGCTCAGTCCATTGAGCATGGGACTCTTGTTTCCCCCTCTGATCATAATCTTGGGATCCTGGGATTGAGCCCCAAGGGCGGTTCCACACTCAGCTAGGAGTCTGCTTGAGAGTCTCTCCCTTTCCCTCTGTCCCTCCCCCACTTTCTCTCTCTCCCTCTCTGTCTCTCAAAAATGAATAAATTTTTTTAAAAAATTGGATATTTATTCATCATAGATTTTTTGCATTAATTTTTTAATATGGGGTTAAAACATTATTTATCACAATTATTAAATTTTTTGAGCCCCCTTCAATTTAAAGGTGAGTCTCTCATTTGCCTTACCCTAGCTGGACCTTAAGCCACTTAGCAATACAACAGCAAGTTAGAGGACCTTCTATGGCAATGGTGAAGGAAAATAACCGTGAGAGAAAAAGACTTTTATTTCTCTAACTAAATATATGTGAGGCTCATTGCTTTATTTGAACAGTTTCTGTTTTTCAAACTGTATGAAGCTAATTTATAAATACGAAATTCCAAACTTAAATTGGGTTTGGGTACATCACACAGAAGCAAACACTAGGAAGTAGAGTGAAGGCAGATGTGAAGTCGGGCAGGGGGCATGCTTCTGAGGACTTCACAAGGCATGGAGAATGTGAGTGGCTCACTGCCTGAAAGCAGGAAGTGAGATGGGACATTCTACTCAGGACAAGGGACAAAACAAAACAAAATATACTACAGACTGTTGCCTGATGATACCACTTCTGAGAAGTGGAAGGCTTAGGAAAGCAGGACTAAAATGCTAAGCTAAGCTACCCCCCTGTTTGCTGATGGGATCTGCAATACCACTGCCAGGTAGGTGGTGTATTTCATGAACTGTCATGCAATTAGATTCTGGACACAAATAGGATGGGGACAATCACAAAACCATTAGATAAGGAAGAATGACCAAAGCTACTTTGTACAGACAGTTAAGGAAGGCCTCACTGAGGCTGATGAAGTGAATTCACCTATAACTGAATCACTGATAGGTGAATTTCCTTATAGGGTGAATTGACTTATTCATTCATAAAGTGAATTTCGAGGAAGATCTGAAGGAAGTAAAGGAGCAAGCTATGTAGATATCTAAGGGAAGAGTGTTCTAGGCCTGAGTTGTCCAATACAGTGGCCACTAGCCATGTATTCCACTGTGCACTGAAACATGGCTAGTCTGATCTGAGATGTTCTGTAAGTGTAAAATACACACCAGATTTCCAAGACTTAGTAACAACAAAAATGTACAACACCCTATTAATAACTTTTATATTGATTACATATTGGTATATTAGTATTGAGGATATATTGGATTAAATAAAATATATTATTAATTTCACTTTTTTGTTTTTACTTTTTAAAATGTACTAACAGAGGCTTCAAAACTACATATGCGGCTTATGTTTGTGGCTCTTGTTATGTTTATTTTGGACAGTGCCGTTCTAGGCAAAGAGAACAAGCATAAAGATCAGAGAATGCTCTCTCAGTGTTGCCATAATCTTCGCCTGTTTACCTTTAGCACTTCTTTCCTGGTACCATTATCATTCCCTGTGTGTCTGTCTCCCTTACTAGGCAGAACTCTTCTAAGTCAGGACCTGAGTTTCACTCATCTTTGCATCCCAAGCCCTAGCACAGTACATACATAGTACAAAGCAGGTTGGTTGTCTGGTGGAATGAAGACAATTACCACTGGTTCTTCGTTCAACTATAGTCATTTCTGACAGTTTGTGGCCAGGGCCATTTACTATTTCAAAAGGCTGAAAATATTACAACCTCGCATTCAAGTGTCGATTAAATTTAAAAAATCTAAAATCTAATTAATGAGTGAAATTCTATTTTACATGAGCTTTTTCAGTATTCTGGGGGTCCGAAAAACAACCTGAACAGCTTTTCTACAGTTATTACCACCAGAAAGCACTCTCGTAGTATACTATACTACCTCATACTCATATTTCATACATTTTATGAAAACATGTTACCTTAACTGACTAACAAGTAATGTCTTCCTAAATTATATGCAGAAAATGCAAGTGATCTTTTTGGATCTCCTTACTGCAGTTTGAGCTAATGATAATGACCAACTCTATAAACCCCAACCAAAAAATGAGCATTAGTGGTAGAAAACTACATTTTCTAATTGAATAAGAGATTTAGTTATTAGTTAGATAATTAACAAAAAATTAGTTGCCATTGGTTAGGTTAACTAATAGACAGCAAGATTTTGAAATGATATCCAAGTTCAAGTTCTCTTTGTTCAGTTATTAAACCTTAATCTCCACTTATTCATTTATAATAAAAGGGTACATCCATCCTGCCTACCTCACAGAGCTACTGTGTGAAAAAGCAGAAGCAGTATGCACACTCAAGTTAAGCTTGTTGGTATTATTGACATGCATGTGTGTGTGTGGGTGCGTGTGTGTGTATGTGTATTTGCAAAGGTACAAACCAGAATTTCCCCTAATCAACTGATGATTGAATCATTACTGTTCAAAAAATGTTGTCCAATAAAAAGGAACACTGTAGAAACCTTTAATTGGACATTTCTCATAGAACATCATTAATTATGAGACCTATCAAAAAAAATACAGATGCAGAGGTGAGTTCAGTAAACTCACCTGATTCCTTAAAGCTAGGCAAAATTCAACATACAAAAGAATTGCTTAAATATTTAGACTAAACATTGAAGATGAGACAGTTTATGCAACCATCTATTTTTTTATTTTACATTTTTTTATTTTATTATGTTATGTTAATCACCATACATTACATCATTAGTTTTTGATGTAGTATTTCATGATTCATTGTTTGCGTATAACACCCAGTGCTCCACTCAGTAGGTGCCCTCTTTAATACACATCACCAGGCTAACCCATCCCCCCACCCCCTCCCCACTAGAACCCTCAGTTTGTTTCTCAGAGTCCATAGTCTCTCATGGTTCATCTCCCCCTCCGATTTCCCCCCCTTCACTTACCATCTAATACATTTATTGAATGATTAATATATTCCTAGTGCTTACTTGATAAGGGAGAAAATGACAAGGGCCATGTCCTCATGGAGTTTTGCTATTCAAAAGCACAAAACGAGGGGTGCCTGGGTGGTGCAGTCGGTTAAGCATGCCACTGTTGGTTTCAGCTGAGGTCATGATCTCAGGGTCATTAGATCAAGCGCCCCCACCCCCATCAGGTTCTGCACTTAACACGAAGACTGCTTGAGATTCTTTCTCTCTCTCCTTCTCCCTCTGCCCCTCTCCCCACCTAAAATAAATAAATCTTCAAAAACACAAAACTATGAAAAATTTAAGGCAAGTATCAAGTAGTACAAACATGCAAATTATTGTTCACAACTGTAAGACTGAAAGAGTTCAGAAGTCAAATAAAAGTCTCTAAATATATATGCCCAGTTCCTATGTTTTAAGTTGTAATTTTGTATAGATTTATTATAAAGTCAGTTATAGAAAACAGATTTATTCCCAGCATCACACTACTTAAGAGTTCTTTGCAGATAAGAATGGTATCATGTAACAGTTAGCCCTGCATTTAGCTGCAAAAAATAGAAAATACTACCAAAGAGATTTAAACCAATAAGGGCTTATTGTTCTATACAAGTCTGAGGGTAGGCAGAACAGGACTGTATGGCAACTTCACAATGCCATCACTCTCTTTACATTTTTCTATATATCCCATCCAAAGGCCTTTATCTCAAGCTTGTTGACTCAAGGTACCAAGATCGCTGCTGCACTTCCATACCTCAAGTTCCCTTTCCAGGCAGGAAGAATTAAGGAGCAAAAAGGGCCAACACCAGTTGCCAGGAAGGTTTTTCTCATTTAGGAAAGGAAAGCATCCTAAAGAAATTACACCTACATCGCAATGGCCAGTCCTGTGGCACACGGCTACCTTTACAAGATTCAAAGGTGTCCGGGATGGTATTAGGGTTTTTCCAACTCCTACCACAGAAGGGAAAAAGAGGTTGTGAATGGAATTGGGGTCACCAAAATAAAGTATCCACCATATATTATAATTCTGTGTATATCCTCTATTTCTAGCCAAGCATATGGGATCTAGTGAACACTCAAGTGAGTGAATAATAAATGAAAATTGTTATCAAAGTTCTGTGAAATTCTAACTATGCCGTAAGTTTTTCTTGGTGAGTCTAAAAGTAAAGAGATACAGACTGTGACTAAGACTCAAGTGTGAATCTGTCTCTTCTCACTAGTCTGATATTTGAACCTCCATTCTGATCTGTTTTCTTTACCCTTTCCTGACTGGTTTACATCAAGTCTCTCCCAGAACCATTCACAATTTAAAAATCTCCTTTTTGATACTCTGTCCCACCTTCTTCAAGGAGACTAACATGTAGATCACGTAGATCTCTTTTCCCCCATCCTCTTTGACTCAGTCATCATGCACCACAGTTTCCAGTCTTAGTGAAATGAACAATGTGTCAGGCATCACACTAACAGACTTCTAAAAATGAAATAATTGGGGCGCCTGGGTGGCTCAGTCGATTAAGTGTCTGCCTTCAGTTCAGGTCATGATCTCGGGGTCCTAGGATCGAGAGCCCCGTGTTGGGCTCCCTGCTCAGTGGGGAGTCTGCTTTTCCCTCCGCCCCTCGCCCTGCTCATGCACTCTCTCTCTCTCAAATAAATAAATAAAATCTTTTAAAATAAATAAATAAATCTTTTTAAAAATTAAAAAATAAAATAATGATGACTACCCTCAACTCTGATCTCAAGAGAAAAATTAGTCTAGATAAGTTTAAAATATAAATTTCATATACATTTAAAATGACACACTAAGTAATAGAGTTGACATTTCTTTTATTTTATTTTTTTGAAGATATTATTTATTTATTTAATTGACAGAGAGAGAAAGACAGCGAGAGAGGGAACACAAGCAGGGGATGTGACAGAGGGAGAAGCAGGCTTCCCGCCAAGCAGGGAGCCCGATGTGGGGCTCCATCCCAGGACCCTAGAACCATGACCTGAGCCAAAGGCAGCAGAGTTGACATTTCTTTTAAACAGTAATCCTTTCAAAAACTGATGTTTGTGCCATATATTTAACATCTCACCTGTCCAGCAATAGCAGTGAAGTATGTCCACATGGGGTCTCCCGCTGAGGAGTAACTATCAGAATATGCTGGGTATCCACCACGCAGCAGGTTTGGCCCTGTTCCTGGCACTGGCTGTCCCATTTGCATCTGCATTCCTGGCATCTGACCACTAAAATTTCCAAACTGTAGGAGTGAAAAAGGATAAGGTTACTAATACAAATATTACCTGTTATCCACCAAAATTGGCTTAAAAGAAAATATTTATGAGGAGTCCACTGAAAAGCAAGAATAAAAAGAATTACTAAAAGCAACCGAATTCACTATCACAAATGCTGTTAGCTACAAAATGCTAGATGTCCTGCATTAGGACATAATTCAGTTCATTAACATGTTATCCAACATTAAAAGAAGTGTAACAGAAAAAAGAACTTTCTAGCCTCTGAGAACTTAATCTAACAGATGAACATAAAGCACGCTTTTTAAGTGTTTACCACCAACATCACCGAAATAAACAAAAAGCAAAAAAATTTCACCTACAGTCAAACTAAGAAGTAGTATACTTCAGATACATGCTTAGAAGAATACATGGTAAATACAATGAAACTGTGAACTAGTCATGGGAAACTGTAGAGAATGCAAACATCCTCTCCATCAGAAAATATTTATTTTTAAAAAAGCAAGACACCAATAACCTGATCAATCAAGTGATTAGTTCCAACAACAGTCTTCAAAACTAATAAGAAAAACAATAAGAATACCAACAAAAATAATACACAGCTAATATTTACTGAGTTTTTTATAGCCCAGGTACTAAGTACTTTCCATTATGTGCTTTGATTTTCCAAAAACTTTATGAGGTATGAAACTACTATGTCCTTTTTGTCATTGAGAACCTAAAATTTCACGAGGTTTCCTAAATTGGCTAAGGTCAAATAACTAGTAAGAAGGAGACCATGGTTCAAATGCAGGTATTCTGATGTTTGTTTCCTACTATGGCTATGGCTTCTCTCTACTTTTTTCACTTGGGAACTTGGTATACATTTTTAATACCTTAGAAAGGCATTTTACTGAGCATTTTTATGAGTCTGGAAGAGAAAGTAGTATCAAGATTGTTTGTTATTCCATATTGAACAAAAATCTTGACCTGCATCCTTGAAGGATGATTTCTGCCAGAAGGCAATAAGAAAAAAAAAGAATTCTAAATTGGGGGGGAGGGGGGAGCAAGGAGTCAAAAGGTCGGATACTACCAGTAGTATCAGAGCTGTGCGGCTGGATGTATAGGGTAAAGGTATGGAGGAAGTGTTGGAGCTCCAGAAAATGCACTTCAAACTCCAGGAAATACACAACTAGATTATGAAGCAATGAAGTACAAGTAAACAGTAAATGTTAAAACAACATAATGGATTAAAAACAAACCAAAAAAGATGGGATTTTTTTTTAAAGTTGCTTCTTTTAAAAGAAAAGACCATCAAAAGAGACCCAAAAAGGCAACTTCAGTAATTAAAGTATATAACCACAAATTACAAACTTCCAACTCTCAAAGGAGACTAAGGATAAACAGTTATGTAAGAAAGAGTAACCTAATCTTTCCCACCTCCCAAAAAAGTCTAGAACAGATTGCCCTTGGTAGAATAGTAAAAATTAAGAGACATTTGGCATATCTTAATTTATCCATAAGCAACTTAAAGGACAGAAAACAAGAAGTGGCCAAAAATTCAGAAAGAGGACGTCTAGCAAAACTGAGGAAGGTGGGGGTCGACCACAAAATATTACTGGAACAAGAAAAGGGCGCTTTTGTTCCTCCAATCCAGGAAGAAAATTTCCAAAATCACAGCACCATCCCTGCCTCACAAGGACTCGCCTAAAGGGGCCCCCAGGGACGAGAAAACCTGTGTTTCCCTGTTCAACCAGGGCCCCAGATTCCGACACCGCGCGGTGCCTCAGCCCCGCGGAGTACCAGAGACTGGTCAAACCAAGAGGAGGCAGGGGGCGGACCCCGCACGCGGGCACCGCCCGCGGGGGCGGAGGCGGCGGAGAAACTGCCCGGACTCACTGCTCCTCCGTATCCCGGGTAGGCCATGACGACCCGAGCAGGCGTCCCCCGTCCCCCTTCTAGTCAGCGTCAGCCCTACTGGGGAAAGGCGAAGCTGCAGGTGCAGGGCAGATGCAGAGGCAGGTGAGGCTTAAAGACGCGCTTGCAGTGTGGTTTACTTCCCTGAGACCGCCCCTTCCCGGAGTCCAACCCCGCCCTGCTCGGTTCCGATTGGTTGAGCTCCGCCCTTCGGGGCCCAGGCCGGCTCCTTCCCGGAGTCTAGTCCCACCCATCTCATCTCTGATTGGCTTCACGCACCCAGCCCCCTTTTGTTCGGTTCCTATTGGCTCGCTCAGGTCTCGCGCTCTCTCCTCACTAAACTGCAGAAGGCTTTGCTCCGAGAACTTGCACTTTTTTTGGCTAGGCTCTCCAGGCTGAAGTTTGCTTTCTTCCGAGAATCCCCAAACCCGTCAGTCTCTTTTAGTCTATTCCTCCATTCTTTTGAGCTGAACTTCCAAATCTACATCTGTGAATTTCAAAACTTTCAATTACTCACATTTATTTTTGCGTAGTGTTGATGTCACAACACCAAAACTTTGAAGCCTTTATCTCTGCCCCAAGGGGAGTGCTTCTGAGCTAAAAGCCACTTGATGGGAAATTTTACCAAAAGGTTATTTGTAGTTTGGTGGATAAATGGCGAATAGAGTTGCCAGAGTTAGCAAATAAAAATACAGGATGTCCAGGTAAATTCCATTTTCAAATAAACAATGATTTTTTTAAATGTACGTATGTCCCAAATATCACACGAGACATACGCTTACTCTAAGAAAAAATTATTCACTGTTTATACATTAATATACAGGATAGCCTGTGTATTTTCTGACAACTCTACCAATGACTCACTCTTAGGATGTGCCTCCTAATTATATCCACTGATGGGAACAGCTTGGTTTTTATCACTTGGTGAAAAGTTAAAGTTACTTTAATTTATTAAATAATAATTGACAGTTCTGCTTTTCTCTGCAACTCAGATGAATTTTGTAGCTCTGGCTTTAAAAGGACAGGATGCACATATACATACACCAAACAACAGGGCAGATGTAGCTTTAGCTTAAAAACAAAGAAAAAGAGCAGAATGATATCTCTGAAGAATATGACAACGGCTAAAATGTTTCTTAAAAATAAGGATGTGGGGAGAAAAAGCGTTAGCTGTCTATTAGCAGAGGAAAACCACCTTGCAAAGCTGAGTAATAATTGCCCAGCTACACTATAGAGAAGGAACATGTACCTTGTGAAACTTAATTTTATCAGGAAGAGGCAGAGAGAAAGGAAGATTGCTAATGTACAGGCCGCTCTTGAGAAAGTGTGTGTTAGTTCCTCTAACACAATAAGAAATAATTTAGGCAATAAGGTTAGATTATTGGAATAAATAGAGGGAAACGATAAAACCTACTTGATAAGAGGAAAGACATATGACTGTTAAAGCGTCAAGTGATAATGCACTACAAAGCAAAACAAATTGTTGCAAGGTTTTATTCTAATTCAGAAATGCTCAGAAAGCATTGAGTGTTTTATATTTACAGTGTTAGTCTAAATCTCTGGTCAGAATTTTTGTTCATTTTTTTCATAATAATAGTCTTACATTTGTATTGCATTTATGTATGTTGGGGGTCAAGTCTCCATGATTCTCTTGCATTTCTACACACATAGTTTCAAAGATAGGGATAGTATTTCCCTCAAGGGCAGAGAAATTTGTTGCAGGATAACAAAGATAATCTGTCCCTCCAAGGCAAAGTTTGGGTTGGTTTGTTAGCATGACAGTCCTAAATTTGGACTTCTCCATTCTGATCCAAACCCTGGCTTCTTGTGCAGCACCTGCCTTGAAGCTCCAGTTCAACCTGGGGACACCTGGGAGCAAGAAGAATCTATGAGAGCCTGAAGGTCACGCTGCCTGTGGTGCTATGAGTAATAAAACCCTTTGTCTCTGACAGAGGAATCTTATGCATCTGTCAACTTCTATGAAACTGTGGCAGGCTACCTGTTAGCTTACAAGTGGAATAAAATATCAGATCCCTCACAGTTCTTGGCAGTGTATCTCCTTCTTAGAGAAAGAGCTTACTAGGGAAATTCCTAGTGAAAGGCAGCAGAAGATGCCATTCCAAAATATGCCACTTTGGCATAAGGATTATTTTGAATTGAAGGCAATTGAGAAGAAGCAGATAAAAGAAAAATCTCTCTGTTCTCCCTGTATTTGTCTAAAAGCAGGACATAAATTTACAAAAGTGTCCTTCTCCCCTCCCTACCAGGAAGGACAAAGATTATTCCTCTGAGACAACTTTAGACCCTCAAAAATGGAGAAGAAACAGACTTAAATCTGCATAACAAATCTTACTCTTGTTTAGGGGCACCTGGGTGGCTCAGTCGTTAAGCGTCTGCTTTCCGCTAAGGTCTTGATCCCAGCGTCCTGGGATGGAGCCCTGCAAAGGGGCTCCCTGCTCGGCAGGAAACCTGCTTCTCCCTCTCTCACTCCCCCTGCTTGTGTTCCCTCTCTCGCTGTGTCTTTCTCTGTCAAATAAATAAATAAAATCATTAAAAAAAAAATCTTACACTTGTTTACACTGCTTTTCCTGGTACCTCCCCACAACTAGCCTCCCCTCCCCTTTCTTCCTTTTCTCTTTAGCTGAAGACGGTATCTAAGTTAGAGGCACCTCTGAGAGTTATTCATTTATCCCTGGGTATCTCCCATGTATACATGAGGATATATGTCAATAAACGTCTGGGTTTATTCTCTTGTTAATCTATTTTTTATTACAAGGGTCTCAGCCAAGAACTCAGAAAGGTAAAGGTAGAATTGCTTTACCTCTTGTACAGTACTGTGTACAATGTACCATGAGATACAAAGAGGTCTTTCAACACCACCATCTGCAGCATCTTTCTCTAAACTTTGTATTTCAAATTATAAATTTTCTAATATAGGAATTTAAAAATTCACTTGAGCCCAGAGCTTTTTTTAAGTAATAGTAATGAAAATTTGTTAGTATTATATGACCAGTATCATTTTATGAAAATTTATAAAGCATTTTATAAAAAAAAATTTGAAATTATGCACTTTTGTTTCAGAAAACACTCCACTATTCTATAAAAATAGCTACTTATAGAGTGAACGCTGTGTAACAAGGCACTGTGTGCTATGAGGGGCCATTCCTCAAAACAACCTCATCGGGTATATGCTCTTAGTATCACCATTTCATACATGTGAAAAGTAAGGTGAAGAATTGTGTATCACTTATCCCCAGTTGTGCAGTTAGTAGCAAAGCTGAGATTAGAACCCAGGCAGCTTGGCTGTGGAATGAGTCTCTTTAACAATGCATTTTCCCCTCCCTGCCCACTCCCAACCACAGCATTTCAAAACATAGTAAAAATGATTTACACTATAGGAGGAAATTGTTTAAAGAGCAGAAAAATGGCACACCAAGAACTAGACAAATAGACAAGAAAATGCATTGTTTTGACTAAAATTAGCCAATCACATTACTTTTCTTACACAGACATGTTTTCTGGTGCATGTTATGCTTTCATGATTATGTCTACCTATGGTATTTCTTCCATATTTTGGTAACCTTTGGTCTTATCATAAATTTAGATATTCAATTAAGCAGTACATTTTGTAGTACACTATAAACACTAAATTATTTAGTTTGGATTGGTTATTTATGTTTTCCTTTCCTATCTGTTGCTACCTCATTTGCTTTCCCTGAAGGTGGGTTGGGGGTGAGTGAGGGATGGAGGAGACAAGGACATGGGAGTCAGTAAAATTTTACTGCTCCTCAGCAAACTTCAGTTCCAGAGCCAGAGGGTACTTAACTCATAGAAATTATTTATATGCTAAATTCTAAAACAAGACATACCAGCTAATGAAAAACAACATTGGGGTGCCTAGGTGGCTCAGTTGGTTAAGCGTCTGCCTTCGGCTCAGGTCATGATCCTGGGGTCCTGGGATCAAGCCCCACATCAGGCTCTTTGCTTAGCGGGGTGCCTGTTTTTCTCCTCTCCCTCTGCCACTCCTCCTGCTTGTGCTCTCTCTCTCTCTCTCTGTCAAATAAACAGATAAAATCTTTAAGAAAAGAAAAAGAAAAACAACATTAATGGAGCTCATTTTATTTTTTAAAATTTTTTATAAGATTTTATTTACTTGAGAGAGAGCATGAGCAGGGGGAGCAGCAGAGGGAGAAGAAGAAGCAGACTCCCCTTTGAGCCGGGAGCCTGATGTGGGGCTCCATCCCAGGACCCTGGGATCATGACCTGAGCCAAAGGCAGATGCTTAACCCACTGAGCCACCCAGGCACCCCACGGAGCTTATTTTATATCATTAAGAAACTTAGACTGATTCATTTATTAAAAGGCAATTTATTGAACATCTATAATGTAGCACTAGTTTAGATGGGGAAAAAAATACACCAACGTTGTGGGAATGTTTTTGCTCTTCTGGACACTCACATTCTAGCAGGGAGAACAAACAACAATACGCAAAGACAAAAAATAAAGTAGGTGGTATGTTAGGAGATGAAAAATGCTACACAACAAAAGGAAAATGAAAGCAAGGGTGGGGGAGTAAGATGATATGGGAAATAAGGGCAGAAGAAAAATTATTAAATTTCCTTACTATTTACAGCCCATTGACAAGTCCTTGAAACAAGCAGAGTGACATTCCTCTAGGGACTCAACTGCCTGGATGTTGACACTTTGCTAAGGGCAAAAGGCAATCTTAGCCCAACCCCCAGGATCCTGTAAGTCTACTTTAACATATAAAAATTCCTTTGGAAACTCCCTTTATCCCTACCTTCCAAGATACATGTTGGCAGCCATCCCCAATCATATGACCCACCGATATACATCTGAAGGGTCTCATGACTAAGATTTTGTTAGACAGTAATAAATGACTTTTTCCCAACAATAGGTAGCCGCCTCAAGGTCCTAGAAACCTTGTTTCCAAAATTCCTTAGAGACTTACGCTATCCCTAACCCCCTCCCAGCTTGAAAGTATATAATGGGCCACTCCTCATGACCCCAGTGCAGCTCTTTCACACGGGTTCTGTCCCCCTGTTCCCCCACCTTTTTGTACCAAAGACATCTCAAGAATTCTTTCTTGGCCGTCAGCTC